TTCCAAGAGGGCTATTTTAAACTTATAGAAGTAAACAACAGCACTCTCGGAATCATTTTCTTCCGCTTCTCTTATGGCCTCTTTGGCCTGGAAAGAAAAACACAAAAAAGGAATAACTCAACTTTTAAATAACTGAGATAAATACCAGTCCTACCTCCCATTAATAGAAACAATTGACAATTAAGCCTGATGGGTCAGTTTCGATATAAAAAAGCTTATGGGAATAGCGGCTGCAATAGGCTGGCTGAGTTCGTATTTAAACTAAGCTAGAAGCCATTCTGTAGTTGAAAAAGAGTGCAGATGGACAACATAACTTAGAAGTGTAAGAAATAACCATTGTTTCCACCTAATTGCAAGGAGTGAAGACAAAAAGTAATACCCTCTTTAGTCTTAGTAACCCCCTGCCCAGATATTAGATCTAAACCGCTATCTCACTTTGGAGATACAATAGACCATTTTACAGTTGTGGGCTTAGTATCCTGGTCTTTGAGGACCTTTGAGTGAATGTGAGGCTGAGGATGACTTTGTTTTGATACAAACCTTTTTTCTTTTCTTATCAAAATTATGCTTAAAAAAATACTAGTTAGCATAAGAACATAATTTACACACTAAAGCAAGAAGGGCTGTATCAAAACGAGGTCAACTCCAACCTCGTTTTCACCTGTAAGTGTACAATGGGCTATTTTTGTAACCACAATAGCTTAAGCTGAAGGGTCTTCTTGTCAAACCTTCTGATAGTCTTGAAGATTCATGTAACAACAACATTTGTTTCGCTGGAAAAAAAAAGACAACAGTCATGATGTTTCCCATTTGGTTTTGATCTCCAGCAAAAAGTCAACGAAAATGTTTTGGAAGAGGTTAGGCCAAAGAAGAAAATTAATTTCAAACCATTTGGTACATAATTTCAGACACACTGGGTTCCCTTTTTTACAAACGGGCCCTCTTCAATTTCAGAAGCGGGCCCACGAGGCCCTCATTAGATGATTACTATAGCTAGAGTAACAAATGTAAGCCCTGTATCTGGTCTGTAAGGTGTAAAAGCAACCGTCACTATGCCACTCAGCAAGGTTTAACCTAGGGATATATCGTACTAGCTAGATGCGTATGTAAAAACTTCCGAGAACCGCGCATACTTTGTCTTGAATCGCCTTATTTCATTCAGATAGTTAATGGTATTAAATTCAAAGCAAAAATCGTTCTTTTTTATTGAAAACCAACAATTTACTACTGTATCGGTCACACTAAATGAATTTGTCGTCCAAATCAATTCCCGTTATTTTAAAAAGGGTATATTAGTTGGAAGCATGGCAACGCTTCTCATTTCTTTTTCATACCAACCTGCAGTTTTGCAATGCTTTTGCTGTTTGTCTCCTTCGAGGAAAAGAGGCTCAAGGAATAATTATACCAATTTAATGCCTCATTGTAGTCTTTCGCCTGAACAAATAGAAGTTGAGAAAAGAAAATATGAGTGTCCCATGGGAATTCGAACCCATTACAAATCTTTACTGTCAGCTTGGTTCCTGGTGAATTATCCCAAACTTATAGGATCGATATTCTAATAAATATACATGATAATAATAATCACCGCACAAAAATTAAGGAGCACCCACGCTACTTTTGCAAAAGCGAAAGGAAATGAAACTTGTACTGTATTAATGTTAACGACAACAGTCATTTATCATTCAGAAACCTCATAACAAACAGCCGCTTTTTCCCACAAAAGAATATGGAATCTTTGAAACATCTCTGAATCAAGGGATTTGCTTATCTCACCTGAAAAACAATTTAGTAAAAAACAAACAAACAAACAAACAAATCATGATGTCAGTGCACTGTCGTGATCAAATTCAATCAGAACGATTAATTAAAATGAAAACAAAAAAGAGATCAAAGATCTGAGTATCAACAAGCTAGGCGTTGCATACCAACAATGCAGTTTTCGATAAGTTCCTTTGCTGCGTCATCCTTTTTGTTTTTTAACAAGAGTTCCTTCAGATAAAGAGTAATGAATTCAATTAATGTAGACTTTGTCACTTAAACAATTTTTCTTGAAAATCGCAACATGATCTGTTTCATTTCTGATCAAAAAAACTCTGTAAGAGTAACAAAAATTAGGAAAAAAGCCTAATCGCAGCTTTTGACTTTTATCTCAATTGCCTTCTGATTTGCGGTAGGCCTAAGAGGAGGAAAAGTCATTTTTAGATCTTTAATCAACAGCCAAAATTCCCCTAAAATGTTTTCAGTATTCCTGATTAAATGGAAATTGCTTTCGGTAACTTACCAAGCGCTCAAGTTGAATCTTATAAAGGTCCGGAGAGTTTTTGAAGCGTGAACTCAGAATTTCCAAACAGTCAAAAGCCAATTCCGTTCTGACAATAATAAAAAAGAAATAGATTCAACTTTGTTTTATCACCACATTAATCATGACTAGTATTATCTGTTTATTTTCAGCGCGAAACGATAAAGTTGTGCTTTTTTGTCTTGGTCTTCTAAGCGGCCTTCATCTTGGATTGCCAGAATGTCTTAAACATGCCAAAATTGACGCTTCTATTTCTACAACTGGTTTCCCGCTTAACTTATTAGGAACTTCCCTTAAATAAGTAAACATCCCGTTATACGTTCGTGGATACACGTACATTTATTTATTCAATCCATAAAACATATGTAACAAGTTATAATTATGTGCAGTTGAACATGATTTTTTTTGCCACTAAATTTGCTTTTGCATTTAAAAGATATCTTCATTTTACCAATTATCGACCCACCTGGTTTGCTGGATTGCCAAATTTACTGCACACAAACCAAGATCTACCTTTAAGTCCGGGTGCTGAAGAGTTTCCTCAAAGGCTAAAAATATAACAAACCCTACTTGAATTTATTGAATGATAATTACTGTTTATTTAAACTCGTCCAGTAGATGAAAATTACGTTAAATATTGATGAATATGGCATATTTAGTTATGAAAAAACGGCTTAAGGTAAAAAAGGTGCTTGAACGTCCTTATTTTACGTCATAACTCTTAACAGTTCAAACCTAAGGCCGACTGTGCGCTCATCTTACCCCCTCCCCCCTTTTCTCAGTCCATCAGTGATCCGAAATCTGCTAAAACTGCAAGGAAAGGCAATAAAACGATCGAGACAAGGAATCAGAGCAGTATCGTCATATCTTTAAATATTACCCTGGATAAAAGTTAACAAAAACTAGCTTTCTTCAACGCTAGAATAGTATTAATTCACGACAAATACAGTTGCATGAGAAAACTTTGATTTATTCTTTTTTCCTGGACTAAAAAAAACACATTCTCATAGCTTTTTCATGCTCAAATAATTGTCCAGATCTGACCTGAATTGAACAACCTTGACTATAGTCAGTTTATTCTTCATGTAAGAGCAATTCAAGCTCTGTTACATGTTTAACGAGTTACTTTGAGATAATATAATGTCCCTGCAGTACTCGTTAAAAAGAAAAACTGCAAATTGTGCATAAGCGAAAGGTTTGATACCTGACTTCAATCTCGAAAGTGGAATCGTTTCCCCATTACCCATAATAAGTAGTTTGGCTTTAAGATAAAGTCCAGCGGGATGGCTATATTCCTAAGTAGAAAAGCGGGATATACGTCAGTTGTTTGAATGTATTCAAATCGGATTCAAATACAGTCTAAATAGAACTCATCAACTCCTCTGCATAGCAAAAATTATGTAGGTACTTACAGAGTTTGCAAGGTCTAAAGAGGAACAAAAGAAAAACATGGTTAATCTTGGCTGCTGAATATAAGGCTGCAGTAAGTTTACTAAATGCATTGAATTAAACGTGAACTGAATTTTAATTTGTGTCAAAGTGGAAAAGAGTGTCAGATAAGCGTATTTTGTAAGATTCATACACACTAAACAGAGCTCTCGCCATTATAAAATCATAATAAAGCAAGTATAAGTGAATAACGACTTAAAGTTCTTGAAATTTACTGGCGGAAGAAGAAGTATTCAGGATTTGTTACCAGTTGCATTGAGAGCCATCTGCCAGTTGTTTTTGTAGTCCCAGTCAAGATATGCATTTGCCAGAAGGCGCAATGTTGTTGCCTGCTGCAAATTTCAAAAGCATATTTACTGTTAAATCTACAATTCATTCTTTTCTGTACCTTTTAACAATGGCTGAACTAATTTTTGGAAACTGAAAGCTAGTAACTATGCCGAAGATCTATGCCGCCAGAGAAGAATATTGTATTCACGGTTATCTTTCACCACGAACAAAGGCAAAGAAAACGGACAGAAAAGGGCTGTACCTTGACCTTGGAGTCACAGAAGAGACTGAAAAATGTACTTGCTCATGTCCAATTATAACAGACTTACAGAAAAGATTCCATTATTGACAGTAGATCTTTCGTACAAGAAATAATTGTAATCACGTACCTCCTTTTTTGCTCCAAAGGGATTACTTTCTTTTCTTAGATCATAACTTTGCCTAAGCAAAAAAAAATACTAAAGTGAGAAAAGTCTATTTTATTACGTTACAAGATTAGTTTTTATCAGAAGATCCATCACTGATAAGATGAGTTAAATATTCCTCTTTGAGGGGTGGGTCAAGTTCATTACTATGTGAAGGTGTGGTTTGTACCGAACTCAACTGGTGTAATTTATTTGTCGCACTTTATTTACCAGAATAATGCCTACCTGAGCCAGCCGATGCAGGTCTCGTATTCCTCACGGTAGTAGGTATCAACACCAAAATTGTAACACAGCTGTGCCAAGGAAATGCTCTTCGGTACGGAGGAAAAGGAGCACATTACCAGTTTTTTAATCACATGGCAAAATATATAAAGTGCCTATAGCAAGTATCGTCTCTCACCTCTTTCAAAGTTAGTCTTGGCAAGTATTCTATGGCTTTCCTAACATAAAAGCCAACTGAGTCGTAATTTTTCAGCGAAAAGCTCTGTGAATGAACATACAAACCGTTAAAAAAATTACGCTCCTCACTATTATAAGTGGCAACGTTTCCTGGATCTTTAGAAAACCCGAAAACGCGAAGAATAAAAAATTAAAGGCTTCTTTTAAAAGCCTGTTCTCGTAAACTTTTCCTGATGGGCAATTTAAGTGAAAACTACTCACGGCTTCAGCTCTGTAGCAAAAGACTCGGAATATGTAGCGCTCACTTTCTGCAATGTTTTTGGCTTGTTCCGTTGATGATGACTGCATCTCATTTAAGGACCACACCTTTTGCAATCCATCCCAGCACTTCAAAGTAAAACAATACAAAACAACACGAGAAAAGATTGGAGTCGAATTATGGCAATTATGCAAGGAAAAAAGTATAAGATGACGTTCAAGCATGTTACACCAGGGAGTATCACTTCACCGCCACCTCTTTCCTTCTGGGCTGGATGTTATTCCATCCCATAGGAAACCGCTGCAGTGGGACGCCAATACAATTTATGCCCTTCATGAGTTCGCAGAGTGACAAAAGTTTACTGTCTTGGGAAACAAATTTAACCATCATACAATACTTGCTATGACCACCGGATATGAAGTCGGATAGTAATGACTACAGTGTGAAAGTCGTTAACCTAAAATCAAAGAAGTTCCTTTGGCAAACACCAGAAGCCTCGGACTGGTTTTTTGGCCGAATGGTTAGTTTCGTCTTATTTCTGATTGGCTAAGAAGTGGTGTGGACGCCTTTAGCCAAACTTTAATACAGAACAAGCAAACACCAAATACCACAACTTTCGACACTCAAAAATAAAATGTAAAATGTAACTTTAACTTCGTTGTTAAAGAAACCAAAATTAAGAACGACGCCGAGATACGAAGCAGGTTCAGCAAATAATGAGAGATTTATTTTCCAGTACAGCGACCCCTCAAAAAGAGGATTATTAACCGATTGAAACACTATGCGTACGCCAGTGCAACGACCGCATTAGCACATGATACAAATATATAGAGAGAGCTTTTTACGTAATGGTTTTAATAAGTAAGTGTTAAAATTTCATTGCTGAGCACTGTACAATTCTGGTCGGGGAGTATTCTAAAACGTACCTCTGATGCTAACGCAAGGCACTCCTCTGCCATGGCTGGGTTTTGGCATTCTAAAATACAAAAAGACTTAAGGAGCTCAAAGCAACCTGAATGTTGAAATACCACAAGACTTCTGTAATGTGCGTGGTCGCCGTTCTTACTGGATAAAAATGCATTAAAACTGACGCATGTAGTAAGGTATTGCGAGAGAAAAATTCCGGAAAAACATTGCAGAGCTTCTAGATTTCAAAATTTTCTGATTCGCATTCGCGACGATCAATTTCACGTACAAGTAATACTTTATATCACTTTTCAAAAGGAACAGAAAACAACAACAAAAAGCATTTTAAGTTATACCTATTATGTATAAAGTAGAAGAAATGAATTTAACAAAAGGAAAATTGTTGGGAGTAGTATAGTAACTATACGTTTTCGAGGCTATATAAAGCTATAACAAATAGTTTATGCCGAATGTCTGGCTAAGGACTTGGCATTGTACCATGGTGAATACAATAAAAAAAGACAGGGAAATTAATAAGATCGCGATACTGTAAGCTTAAATTTTGCCTTTCAACTTTAATTTGAATATTCTATTCTTATTTACGCACTGGAATTTTTTTGTCCTCAAAGCATCTTGTTTTGGCTACGTGTTTGGACATTTTTGGGTTGAACGCGCGGGTGTGGGACATTCTGATTAAATTTAATTTACGTGAATTTAATCATGATATTACCGAGTTTGACTTACCCAGCCAGGCTTTTCCGGTTTTTGTTGTCATCTAAATAAAAAATAATGATATTAAAAGCTTAGATCCCGTATCTTTGTGGCTTTTTAATAGGTAAGAAATTACATAGCATCTCGCTTGATACGTAGCTGACGAAAGAAGGATCGTGAGAATGATAAAACTGAGCATTTCTTTGTTCTTACCACGAGTTGTTTTCTGTATGTCACCTCACTTGTTTCGGAAGCATTTGCCAAAAATGACAGGTTACAAGCTGCATGCCTTACTGAAATGAAAAAGAGCAAAGTTGCTCTTGACTAAACAACAAGCTGTCATAGTATTAAAGTTTGCAACATTAGATGCCTCTAAATTCTTATTAGTAGTTAGAAGTTGCTCATTCACGCGTACAAAAATCGCAGAGACCAGTTAATTAGACTATATTATTATTTGAAAGAGGGTGTAAGCCCTGGTCTAGTACAATTTTGTAAGGGATTTTGGATGGGCTTATATTCAGGGGAATTATAACCTAAAAATAAACTCGAAAAAGGCTCAAATCGAATTAAACGTACTTTATTTTACTAGAAAAACAAAATTTCAAAAATCCAACTCTAACTGTAACCAGACCATACAAGATATATAACAACCAATACATCAATCTGATCTGTGAGAATAAACCAGGGAAACCTATGATGATGTTCCTTTTTTTCGGGATTTTACGGTATATCGAGAGTGTGTAAATGAAGCTGAGAAACCTTATTAAACACACAGACGCAGACTGAATCTTACATCGTGCATTTGAAATTGCGCCTGTTGTTCCACCAGTCTTCATTGCCACAGCAATATTCCAAAGTGTAACAGAACAACTGTGTATCTGAATTAACACTGCATTATTTTCACTTCTATCAAATGACAGTTTATGCAATCTGTTTGCAAGGTTGGTTATTCGATCTGCCAGTGCTGTAACTCTTTCCTCGTTGTTCTGGTTTTGACGCAAGTCTTTTACAAGAGCTGTAAAAGAGAACAAAATCAGGAGAGTGCCGTAATCCATCGACCTGCACGACACTTTTCCATGCAATAAGCCCAAATGATAACTTTTAAGCTTGACTCTATGAATAAAATTAAAGGTAAAGGTGAAAAACGAACAGAAATTGAAAATGTCAGAGAAGAAGAATTGATTATTTCTTAGAGTTATGTCAGACAGTAATAGTCGTAGTGGACGAATGTTGTTCATGCACTATACAACAACCTAATATTAGTGAAGTTCTGTATAAGCCACGTGATAAGCAATTATAAGTGATGAAGCTTCAAGAATCAAGATTAAGCTTACCTTGTAACAAAGTTGAGGCACTCCCGATGTCTTCTACATTATCTCGAACCATGTCGAAATGTCACAAAATGTAGCCCCTTACTTGGCTAATTTTGTCCTTTAAAAAACCGAAATGAATGTCACACAGGCTGCATTGGGGACGAAGAAAATACAAAAAGGAAAAATCGCCAAAAGCGAAAGTAAAACACTACAAAAAGTCGCAAAGAGTAGAGAGTACACAGAGAGAAAGGACTTGTTTTGACTTTCAACCGCGTTGGCGGCGCCAGAAAAGGCGGGAAAAGTGGTTCACGTCTGCGGATGTTTTTTTGGCGCGAAAGTCTCTAAAGCGACAAGTAGGCGAGTTTGTTCGCAAAAAAGATATGTGTGAAGCAGTGTCCTGTTTAGAAATGAACGGAGATGTTTGCCACTTTGAAAGTTTGTTATTGAAAGAGAAGGTCAGTCTGAAATCATTTCATTTGCCCTTAAGCTCCTAAATTCAGCTATAAACTCACGCTATGCCGGCCCGCTATGCCTTATATAAAGCCTAACTTTCAAACCTTTTGTTTTCTTATGGTTGTCTATAGCTTGCTTGTCATAGGCTTACTACTTTTTTTCTTTTTTTAATTTATAGTACGGTATACAGTATATGGCGACACAAAGTGGTGAAAACAAGTGATAAGCTTGATTGTAAAACTAAAATAGTTTGTAGCATTCAGTTTAAATAGTTTTATGGCTAAGTCTGTTTTCGCTATGCGATTGGTCAATTTGTGGTCCGTAACTTGATACGGATCATAATTTCAAAAGCAACTGCTCATTTCAAAGCTCTAAATATCTTTATATCGAAAAAAGGTTTAAAGAAAGTTATAAGACGTCTGTCAACCTTGAGGACATGGATCACTTCAAACCCTTCTAAATTTTTTTGGGGTCGACCCAAAAATAATTAGAAGGGTTTATATGGAGTTTTCTTCGCATAACTGGACTAACATCTGGCAAGTAAGCCTCTTGGACGTTGTTCTTTTAGAATATCCTGACTTATACTACTACATGAGAAATTTCTGCAATCTGATTGGCTTAGAGCAGTGGTATTTCAGCTTAATTTGAAATACTTAGTAGTATCAGGATTCAGGAGCTCCTGGTAGTATAAACAAATAATGGCTTGATTTGTACGTGATATTTGGCATAAATACCACTCGTGATATTTCAAAATTGTCTCGAAATATCACTCGTGGTATTTATGCCAAATATCACTACAAATCATGCTATTACCTATACAAATCCCATAATTTCAGAAATTTTATTTTTATTACGTCATCACTTAATAATACTCTAACAAAGCACCCATTTCTCCAAAGGATTTTGAACATTGGATTGTCTTCTTTGCCCAAGTGTGCAGAATTTTTTCATAGATTTTAGAAATAAGCACCTGTTTCCAATTTTTGGCAAAAACAGGTTCTTATATAGAGGGGGCTTAACTGGCAAATTTTAGCCTATAAACAGGTTCTTAAAATCCACCGTACTTACAGTGCTCTTAGTTTTGACCGAAGAAACTTTTTCAACATGGCGCATCTGTGTATTTATTTTACTGTCAATGGCAAGCCCCCATGTGCTATTGTTTCCGTATTTTCTGACTCCTGTCAAATGACTGTCAAGTCGCTTGTCTCGCACTTGTTTCCGGTCCCCCAAACAGGAAGCCATATAACAAACATCTTATTGGCCTCATTTTTTCGGTCTGTACTGTAAATTACGGACCGAGTTTTTTTCCATCACAAATCGATGGACAAAAAACTCGGTCCGTAATTTACAGTACGACCGAAAACCCGGGTAATAAGAGGTACAAGCTTGATTTTAGAGATAGCTTTTGTAAACTTTACCTATCTCGTTTTTGTACTTTGTTGTTTTTGATTATCAGTGACCAATTTCACAAGGAACTGTGGCAAATGGCGGTTGATCCACTGAGTCAATTGACGTCCCGCGATGTATCAGTTTATAGTGAATACCGCGATTCTAAACTAGTAAAAAGTTACTGTACAGGATATACCGGGCTAGAGCAAAACTGGTACGTCGCCTTTATTTCAAAATAGTTTATCAAAAGTACTGAGCAGAGTGATTGCATGGATTTTTTGGTGGGTGAAAATGGCCAGAGCAATCTGTGTCCTAGTTTTAGCTCGGTGCATGTTTTCCTTGACTTTAAAGAACTCGGAACACCACACGCAAACGTGTTTTAGTATTTAAACAGTAGATATCGGCATATTTTTATCCCCCAAAAATTTTTCATCTGTTCGGATTTCCTAGCTGAAAGTCTAGTGATCCGAAAATTATAGGGATCAAAACTTACCTTTTCGAAGATTTCAGCCAGAAAAAAGGCTCCTGAAAATTCTAGGTGACCTTTTAAGGTAAAAATCCGTTAAAAATGGGCAATTACACCATTTTTTAGATGTTCGGAAATCCTAGGAGAGGCAGACAAGCAAGAAATTTTACAACAAATGTTCCGAAAATTCTAGATCTCAAATCGTCTTCCGAACAGATATTTTCCGAAAATTGACGTTGGGTGCCCCTGACGTAAATGCATGTCGTGGCGCATATTGAACCGATATTAGCTCCGGCCATAAAGTGTTTTGACATAAATTTGAAAACATCCCTCGCTTTTAGAACAGGATCGCTTTAGGACGCATATAGGCGTTTTAGTTGGCCGTTGATGTCACGAGTCTTTATAAACTGAAGTAAATTATTCTTAGTCTTACAATTTTAAAAAATTAACATGGTAAGTTGATAATTTAGCAGCAGTTGCCAGGAAGGAGATACTGGAGTGGATAATGTGGGACATATTCCAGAGGAAGACATGTCGATAGGGAGCTCAACAGATGATTCTGTTGCTACGGCTTCAGCAGTATTCCGGCATCTTGGTAATAGAAGTAATATGTATGCCCTCTCTTAAAAGTTTAGAATTTGATAGAATTATGTCAGGGGCGTATAGCTAGAAATATTCCAGAGGTACGTCCAGTTTCCAATTCCACCCCAATCCGTCACCTAGGACGGCTCTCGGAGGTAACTTGATTAAAAAAAAAACATTCATTAGTTTTGAAAAACTTAAAGTTATGCGAAAGAATTTGAAGCAGAATTGCATTCGTATTACGCCGTTTTTCAGCTATCGGTGAATTACCTTTTGTTGCTTTACATCGATTTTCTATTTCGTGTTGACTTCTTTTATTTATCTTCGATATTTTTCAGGCACACGCGTGCGTACTGGTGCCGGTCAGGTTGCAAAAATCATGAAAAGTACTCAAAAAGTACTTATACGGCATTTAATAGCTGGCTTCACGCTGTTTCAAAATTCATCGATCTTGTTCCATTTCATTTAATTTGTCAAATGTTGGCGAAATTTTCTGGGGTGGAATCCGATAGGATCGTATCTAAGTTTAGAAAAAGAAAACGTGACGTCACGCTTCTTCTATTTTGAATTTTTATTTTATTTTTCTTTAGTTAGTTTATGTCGTGAAGTACAGCCGTTAAAGGAGATATGGCTTTTGTAATGTCGCTGGTGCACCATAATCATATTAACAGAAATAAGTAAACAACAAAGTTACCAAAAAAAATATATAGCGAGCTGAAATCTTAGTGGTTTTTTTAATCTTTATTTAATTTTTAGCGTTGTTTATTCTTAGCCTTAATTATTTTGCTCATTTTAGTTTTTATTTTCTTTTAACATTTACGTGTTGTCACGCGCTTTTGATCATATTTGCATGGAAAAGGCGCGTTATAAATTTTTAATTATTATTATTATTATTATTATCTTTTTCCTCAAGTACGCTAAATGACCAATGGACATCAAAGTCGAATATCTTACAAGTACGATTGACGGAATCTTAGTTGAAATGAGCGTACATCAGCCTTCTTCTGATATGTAGTCTAATGTCTTCAACACTGAGAAAAGGATACAAATTACGTTTTACATGTTTGAACACTTAACTCTCATAGATAATCTGATACGCCAAAGAATAGATGGGGAAATTGAACAGCTGAAAAGCAGCGTTCACCAAATTCTATCCGACCAACAACAAGAATTTGCTCAAGCGTTTGGGCTTCAAGATGATCATTCTTCCTCGGAGGTATGTAACACTGCAGACAGGCCTTTTATAATAAATAAATAAATAATAACACAAACTAGCAGCACTGTCCAGCTTTACATTTGCTTTGCACACTGAAGTAAGTATATTACCTCTTTAGAGTGGCTTTCAGCACCTTTAGTTTTATACAGATACTTATTAACCTACAGCCATAGTATTTATGCCAAGCATGGTTGGGAATTCAAGAAAAGTCCACTTACAAGCTGGGAAAGGGTTTCGTTTTGCATTTGGTTGAAAAATGCAAGATAGAACTATTCACAGAGCGCCGGAAGAATGCATAGCAAATAGTCGAAGAAAGATTATAACTAATAGCAGAATAGTAGTTATATCATAAAATTATTTCTATCCTTACAGGCGTCTACATCCCATGTTGTTCCCGGGGGTAACTTCTATGATGACTCAAGTTCAGGCGAGTTTTTAGTTCTTTTCTTTCGATACACATGCAAAATTTTTAACGGATTTTTTTGGCACTGTCCCTCTCCAAGACAGAAAGATATAAGAGTGGAAGTTGATAGGTTGGCCTAGTTTGCGCAGTCGTTTAACGAATAAAATTTGAGAGAATTTGAGAGAATGATAACCATATGATTGTATTTGTTCACAGTTTGAGTACAAGGCTATTTCGATTCAGAAACATTCGGAAAAGTGATTTACAACACCGTTAACAGATTTTAACACATGAATGAATGTGCAGCAGTGGGATTGTTTCAAACCAAGAGTTGACTTCCCTGTTGGTGCTGTCACATATGAAATTATCTCCAAGGCAATTTGACAATGATATAATTAAGATCAAGCAGACGCAAAGGATGAAAAGTTGGAACTCGCATTTAAGTTTCACGCACGAAGTGACCATCACTCAGACTAAAAGGTTGTACAACAACAGATTTAAGTATTTATGATTTATTGTATTGAGCTTTTAATTAACTCTATTTGTTTAACCTGATTTTAGACGTAATGGAAGATAACTCAGATTATGACACGGCAGTGATGAGACAGTAAGTGCTTGTGGCTTATAGCTCTCTTTGCACTTCTTTAGCCGGCCAGTTGTGTCGTTTGTCTAGAGCTGGCTATGAAAACTGCAGGACGCGCGGTACAGGGCTACAAGGGCTACTAGTAACACCCTTAGGATCTAGCTAGTGCATGGAGTTAAACTGATATTGCACCGAAATTTTTAGGGAGTTATTATAACTCCAAAAATGGAGTAACAATTTTAGGTACAGGATAACCCCTTTTTTAACTCCTAATTTAACTCCGAATTTGGGGTCATTTTTACTCCTGAAAAAGATTTCTTTTTACTCCCAGTCTGGAGTTAAAATAACTCCGAAATGGGGTTACTTTTACTCCTTACATGGTTGTTTTTACTCTTTTTGCAGTTAATTTAACTCTGAAAGTGGAGTAAAAATTTTAGGTACAGGATAACTCCTTTTTGGGGGTTATTTTAATAATAATTTTAATATCTGGGGTCGCTTTTAATCCAGAAAAAGAGTTCTTTAAACTCATTTTAGGAGTTAAAATAACTCCCCAAAAAATAACTCCACTGTAAGGAGTTAAATTTGCCCCACTAGAGGAGTTATTATAACTCGTCGAAAATTACTGTATGTTGAATTCATTCATTTCAATTGCTTTTTAACAGGTATGACTACAGTGAAACGCTCTGTTCAAACTGCAAGTCAGACTTAAGAAACACGAACACAATCCGACAAGAAGAAACCAGAGAAGACGAAGAGAAGATAGTTATGAATTACCTATTACGTTTGATGACGGCGTCTTCTGCGATGGGCAATACCCTGAAACGAAAAGAATATAGAACTTGAAGAGCTTTATAAAAGACTGATTGGTGCAGAATGAAAGAATCGTGAATAAAACACTGAGAACATGAAAAATACTTTTTTGTTGTCATTAGTGTCCCTAATTGGGATAACATCAACCTGAAGATTATAAGAATTGAAAGATTTCAATAAAGAGTGATAATTGTTTTATTGTGACTTGGTGTTTTCCAATTTCTAATTGACTGTAGAAAGCAGACTATCCTTGCATCAGGAGCCCAAGGTCAGACTGTGGTTGACCGGGAAGCCCGTCCTAAAAATAAAAGGATCTAAAAACCTGGCCTCTAGCCGCGCTGACGACTAGGGGATACAAAACTAGGAGAGCCGCGGCTGGCCCCACCAGTACCGGAACTCAGAGAACGGCTGTGCTTGACGATCCTCGACCAGTTTGACCAAGGAATGCCGCGGCCATCTCAGCCAATTACAGAAATCATTGATTTGTATAAACCACGCTAGCCAAGGAATGGCCCATGCCGGCCACCCGGCTAGTGACTTCTTTAATTCAGGACCAGCTTACAAAAAAGAAGTACGGAATCCTAAAAAAGGATCTAAAATGTAAGACCCTGAAGAAGGAAGGCCGTGCCTTGCGAAATATTTTAAAGAAATATTATATATTCCCGGCTGTAAAATCAGCCTTGCTTCTTTTGTTTTATATTTTGACTTGTTTAATGCCGGAAAGGATTTCATAGATCAGTGATCCAACGTATAAAGGAAAAGTTCCCCAAGTTTGCCTACATGAACATTGAGTTTTGTCCCTCGGTACTGCGTATAGTACTAACCCTTGCATGCTGAATAAAACTTTGGCCGAGACCGATGCAAACCCCCCGCCCCGAACTGAGAGCATCAAGGTTTTGGTGACTGTTACATGACGTTATGTTACAGTTGGTGACTGTTACATGACACCTTTTGTACCAAAGTTCTCACGAGGAGCTGTTGGGGAAACGTATCTTTCTGCAATGTTGTTACTTCGTCGGTTGATTGAATCTGGCTAAATGCCTTTGTTGGGAGCTGGGTGGTTATCAGGTTATGTTGTTACAACCTTTGCTGGGCTTTCAAGGGGGCTAAAATGGACAACAAGCACGAGTTACTTTGCTACCAGAGTGCTTCGTTCGAGCTCTAACTGTAAGTTGTTAACTTCAACCTCCTTTATCAGATTGCTACTCAGCCACACCTCCACATGGCTATATAGAAATTTTGTTTCTCCTTCTACGCACATCCACTTGTTGGCAATACCTGTAGTATGGAGTGACAGGCATGCTCATTGTTTATTCTAGGAATTGGCCATTAGGGCCACTGCCAAAGTCAGCTCCTTCTCAGATTGTATATAGAGGCTTTTCTTTTCAAGAAAGGGAGCCCAAGGTTTTTGAAACATTTTTGCATCACTCGGTTTGATATTAATTTTCCTTTTTGAGCTACACTTTACCAAAGTTTGATCGCTGAATTCCTCAAGTTCTGATCCTTTGATCTACGTAGTTATGTTAAATTCCTTTCAAAATAGCTTTCATTTTCAAGAGTAACCCATCTTTTCTCACAACCTGAAAGACATGATCACACTTCCCTTCTACATTGCACTGTCTTAAATAACTCTACTTTACATAATATATGTAACCAAAGTTATTTAATTACTGTTATAACAGTTATTTGCTAGAACTATTTTTTTCCCTTGCCTCATTGGCATACTGCACTCTTTGTTCCTTTACTTGTTCCCAGACTCTGGGACATTTCTGAAGGGGGCAAATTAGTTTTTGGGGGGCCAAAATTCAAGAAATTTTTTTGACACATTTTGAAGGTTTAGAATTGTTAATTACACTTACAGTGTACCAGGATGGGGGGGCGGGGGGTACTCCTGGGAATTCTTGGTGGGGGTGTGCTGCCTGGTTCCTCAAATCCTGACTCGATTTCAGACCAGAAAATGTAATTTTCCACACCAGTTTTCAGACCTGGGGTCCGTTTCTCGAAAGTTCCGGTAACTTTACGGGCCCGAAATCAAATATTCAAATCGAAATATAAAGAATAAGAGCACAGGTCTGGGCTAGCAAACTACTCCATTTTGTTTAAGTAACTGACAGTTTTATCGTGTTAAATGCAAAACTTTTGAAACCTCGATCTTTAATGTAAACGGAGACAGCTTACCGGGCACGTTAATTATTGGGACTTTCGAGAAACGGCCCCCTGGCCTTTAAGCAGAAATTATGTTATCATTACTAACCCCGTTAGAATGCAAACAAAAAAATTTCCAATCCATTTTGAATTTGCCTATTTCTCTTTTTTGCTTACTCATTTGGAATTGAAAGGATCAATACGTTCATACACTCCGTAGTTCCTTCGAAAACCATACCCGATTCCAGACCAAAATGGGCAAAGTGTACACCCATTTTCAGACCAAAACGGCTCAAAAACCCCAACCAATGGGCAGCACATATAATATATACCTATAATGGCTTATATAAGGGAGTACCCCCCCCCCCGTGTATCTGAGGACCAAAAACAGTTTTAAAAAAGTTTGTGTCATAATTCTTTAAGCATATGCTGTTCACTTTGAATACTACTACTTGTTTCCTGATTTCTTTTACTAGCTGGACAGTTAGGTGGTGACGCTGAAAGAGCAGTAGAAGATGTATCTTCGAAGCCACCAAACATTCTCATATACAGTGGCAGCAGTGACACTCACAACAAGACATTCAATGTTTTAAAACAGACACTTTTGCAAGTTATTAATTTACATAGTTATGCCATCTACAAACTCCAAGAGAAACATGTAAATACACATCCATGGATGGACAACACCACATTGTTAGTTCTTGGAAATAATGATTCAATGTCAGCATCAGTACAAAAGGACTTCATCAAGTACCTCACAGGTGGAGGAAAGATCTTAAGCTTGTGTAGTTCATTTACATGTAATGTCAAGAAGCTTCCTTGGGATGACAAATGTTGCCCCTTTCCTGCTTCAGTTGAAGTTAATCATCCAGAATTTTTTCAAGGAGAGCCACAGAATCTTTCAGCACTCTGTGAGCCTTTTTACTTTGAAGGTGAGTATTCTGATATTATTTTTGACCTATCACTACTGATTACGTGGTGTGTATTGTTCAGTGTACATGTACATGTAAGGGTGCATTCAGTTGCCCACTGGAAAAGGGATACAACCAGGCAAATTCAATGCACAGAAAGAATTGCCTGGCAACTGCAAAAGTGTTTGACATAAACAAAATTTTGAATGGTTTACAAGAGGTACAGGTGTAGAAAAACAGTGATCCTTACAGACAAAGAAAAGGGAAATGCTGCTTCAAATTGTAGACCAATAACATGTCTGCCTTTAATGTGTCTTTTTTACTGGTATAATGGGGGATGAATTGTACAACCATTTGGAGGAGAAACATCTGTTGAGCAGAAGGGCTGTACAGTGTAGAAGAAACACAAAAGGCACAAAAGATCAGCTTTATGGATAAGATGGTTATTAGAAATTACAAAAAGATTCAGAAAAATTGGGCTTGGAATGGTGTGGATGGACTACAAAAAGGTGTAAATGTGTGCTGTGATCCTACATTTGTGGATTATCAAAATGTTTATAAATGTTTGGAGCAGCAGAGAATATGCTCAGGCTATTGGAAAAGAGTATGGATCAGTGGAAAATAGAACTAACGGCAGAAGAACAGACATTGTCCTGTTGATATAAGGAGAGGAATTTCCCTGGGGGATAGCTTGTCTCCACTGCTTTTTGTTGTGGCTCTCATTCCCCTGTCTATGGTATTCAGAGGGACACAAAAGCTGGGTATGATCTGGGCAAAAGAAATGGCATTTCAATCATCTTCTGTTTATGGATGATTTAAAGTTATATGGAAAGAATGAGAGGCAAGTGGGTACCCTAGTAAATATTGTCCGAATTTTCAGTAAAGATATTGGAATGGAAATTATTCGGAATAAGCGAGTGTACTGTGCTTAATATGACATCAGGAAAGGTATTCTCATGCAAAGGTATTGATTTAACAGAATATGGCCAAACTATCAGAGGGCTTGAGAAAGGTGACGGGTAAAAAGTACCTTGAAATATTGGAGGCAGATGATGTAAAGCATAGTGGCATGAAAGTGTCAATATCTAGAGAATAGTTAAGTAGGATAGGAGGATTATTATCATTGATTGTGATAAATAGTTGCTTTTGTTATTTTTCCAGGAGACCAAACTGTTGTTGTACAGGAAGCAGAAACCAAAAATCCAGTTGTTATCCAGTTGCATGAAGGGCATGGCAGTGCAGTGTTATGTCTTATTGATTTGACGTTTTTGGATGATTATCCCGCAGTAAAACTACAAGATCAGGAGCAAGAATGGGATGCTTGTTTAAAGAAGTCCAGGAATTCCAGGATAGGCTTGTTGTCAAATATTTTACAATTTCTAGGAATAAACTGTCAGCCACAAAATGCTCCAGAACTAACTCCACTTCTTCTTTTAGCAAAAAAAATAGTAAGTTTTCAAACCATGTGTGCAGCTGTAGTTTGAAACTTATTGATCCAAGTAATTGCCCCCGCATGAGAGGGCATCCGAGTAACTCACGCCTATATAAAGGAAAGTACTTTTAATATAGGAACAGTAAAAATATGCAGTTAGTTTACCTGAAAAACTCTTTTTCTTAAAATTTGCTTAAACAGGGGCCACAAGGAATCATTGGGTAATGATGATGTTTTAGCCCTAAACAATGCCAAACACCCTAAAGCAGCTTTATTGTGTCAACTATTACAAGACAAGTAGCCAATGATAATTCAACAGAAAGGTGGTAATAGGCCATTTGCATGATGGCGTCATTTTACTACTATGACCAGAATCCTTTTAGTTTTTTCTTTCATATTTAAATTCTTTTATGCTAGCAAGATTTACAACTGTAAATAACAAAAGCTCTAATTTGCACAACAAAACAAAATTCTGAAGGATTCTGGTCATGGTAGTAAAATGATGTCATCGCGCAAATGGCCTTTTGATTGAATTAATGTGGAAAATTATTTACTCTTTTAAGGATCAGGATAAACTATTTCATTCCTTGAAGTCAAGCCTCAAGAACAATGTTTGCAATGGAAATGACCTCTCCTTACATTTTGTGCCAAATGGGCAACCTATTCCTAAAGCTACAGACACCTTGTTACCTGTAATCACTGGAGATAAAAAATGTCAGACATTGTCATTCAACTGGAAGAAATATCAAGAGCATTTAAAGACCAAAGTTTTGGGTCAGGTGATGTTCTACACTGATGTAATCACATCAACACAAACAGTGTTTGACGGGTGAGTTTTCGATATTCAAAGGTATTAATCAATAACCACATAGATGTCAGTTTGTTTGGGATGGTTGCTATTGTGCTTGCCTGTCATCAAGAATAGTAAAAATTATGAGGGTTACTTGATGTCGCCCAGTGAGTGCTTGCAAAATCCCTTCAGATTATATCCCTCTAGGTCATTAAAATGTCGAAGTTGACTGCTGGTAATTTCTCACACCTTGTCTACAATGTATTTTCTCAAAGACGGAATTATTTTTTTCATGCTGTTATTATTAATAAACTGGCCATGATTTACACTTGGGTTATAATGCACAGGAGACCTGTATGATAGCTGTTGTGTGAATTTTGACTGTTCTGGGGAACAAATTTTGACTCAGATTAAAACAGAAGTGTAACTGGGGCCATTTCTTCAGTTCACATCAGTGGTTTTAATCAGAAATGCAGCTATTTTGTCTTCAGATAGCCATAAACTTTTTTAACTTTTTTTTTACCTTTTAAATAGCTATGCTGCTGCACTCAGCTACCTGTAAACAGGATTGCTATTTAACAACACAGTTAGTGTCCCAATATATTTAAATGTATAATAAAATTATTATTGTGACACTAACGCATCAAACTGGTTCTTAAATATGTTATATGTAAGTTCCAGCTGGTTATGAGGAATTAGCCAGAGGATTGGATCCAGTGGGAAACAGTGAAATATTTTGAATGAATGAATGAATAATTATATGGTTTTTTTTTCAAAATATAATAATTAATTATTAAAAAAGCTGGTTGAATTTTTCAATTTAGGAATTACACATTTGTACAAAACATCCCTGAAGATGTAGGCGTCATAGTAACTGCTGCACAGCAAATTAAAGGCCAAGGTGAGTTAATTAAATTAACCCGCCTATTTCTACAGCAAGCTGCAAAAACATAATGTCATGCATTGTAACAGGTGTAACAATAATCTTTATTTTTATCTGACCGTTAATTAGTTTTATTAACAGACTGCCATTGACCTGACTGTGTGTTCTCAGTTGTTATTAGAAGACGCAGTTATCATTATTGTATTCAAGCAAAGAGATTTATTTTTTTTACACAGGTTGTTATCTACATCTGTTGTTTCCCAACTAGTTTGTCAGAGAGTAATATATAAAAAGATTACTCTTTTTGTGCATTTTAGAATCTTAATTCCACAAAATATTTTAATGTACCTCAGTGAGTAGACCTAATGGGTTCATCATTATTTTATCGTGATGAGTTATAAAACAGCGAATAGTGAGTACATAATTTGTGATTTTTGTATTATTAGCAAGCTGTTTTGAAAGTATACTTTAACATTCATCTTTAGGTCGTGGTGGTAATATCTGGCTCTCACCAGCTGGATGTATGATGTTTTCCATACACATAAGGATTCCATTTGCTTCCAGTCTTGGTCAGAGGCCACCATTCTTACAGCATATTGCCTCTCTGGCAATTGTTAATGCAGTCAGATCCAAGTCAGGGTATGAGGTCTGTAAATTTTGTATGTACATTAATTTATAAAATAATCCTGCCTTTCTGTACCTGCCAGACCTAAATCAGATTGTCCAGTGTAAAATTAGTCATAAGACTCTGTCCAAATCATTTTAGCCATAAGAGGCAATAAAGGGTACACATATAAATTCATAATACTTTAGGCTTTTTAGGTATGGCTTGCACATGCTAAATGTACATTGTGGTCAAATAATTTTTTGAATACAAAAGTAAATAAAAGTAGGAAAAAAAGATTTAATTTAGTGGTTATAATCTAAGCTTCAGACTTACGGTGTACAGTACATTGTACACTAGATCTGTTGGATCTGTAGCCAGCATGTCAAACATTTTAAGCACACATGTAGAGCTTGTGTAACGCTCTTGTGTGCCACATGAACGTTTATTGCTGAAACTACAACGGCATAGGATAGATGGCTCTCTATTACTGTGGATTAGAAATTTTTTGACAAATAGAAGGCAGCATGTCATGTTAACGGGCAGTTGTTCAGATTGGTCACCCGTGATTTCAGGCATGCCCCGAGGAACAATACTCGTCCCAATCTTATTTATCATTTATATAAATGATTATTTCAACAAATATAACATCAACAGTGAAAATCTACGCTGATGACACCAAAATCTATCGTACAATCAATGAGCCTGATAAGAATAATTATACCAGCCTTACAGCTTGACCTGAATAGATTAAGTGATTGGGCTAACAAGTGGCAGTCGCACTTTAATCCTGAAAAATGTGAAGTCATGCATGCAATGCACAGTAGGGACAGATCTAAGCCAAGTTACTCTCTAGATATGCAACTAAAATCTGTTGAAAGTGTCAAGGACCTACATGGTGTAGGGGTCACAATAAACTCCGATCTATCTTGGGGTAAACACGTCTCCTACATAGTAAACAAGGCGAACAAAGTGTTAGGTGTAATTAAGCAATCACTCAGAAATGATAATCGGTATGCCTTTTCTTGCCTCTTTAAGTCGTTGGTAAGACCTATATACTCGAATATGCTGCCCCCGTCTGGAGCCCCTACGGAAAAAAGAATATCGAATCTTTGGAAAAACTTCAAAGAAGAGCATCACGGTTGGTGTTAAAGCAAAAGCACGGAGAAATGAACTATGAAGACCGCTGCCGCTTACTGAATTGGCAAATTCTGGAGAAACATAGAGAGTTCTTATCTCTAGTTCAGTGCTGCAAAATGTAATCGAACTTGAGCCAATCGTGATTTATACGTTCTATGTAAAAGTTGCCATCCTATTTTGCTACAAATATTCTTTCTTTGTACGGATCGTCAATGCGTGGAATAATTTGCTTTAAGATGTTGTATGCGCAGGATTGCTGACTTTATTTCGCAACATATTAAGGATTTATATGAATATTGATTGTAAATAGTTTTAATTATGATGTGCAAATGATGTTTTTTATTCTAGTTTTAGGTTTTAGATTTTTCTCTCCGAAAATAATGTTTGAGATTCTAGATTTTACCTTTTCATCTTTTATTTTGGGGAATCTTTTATATAGGGTTGCCCTCTAGATATCCCCTTTCAAGAGATATTTTGTAACTTTAGTTTTTATCTCTTGAATAAAGGCAGTATTATATTGTATTATAGCTACATTGTAATGATTATTTTGTTTTACACAATGTCTGTTTTAGGAGATAAACGTGTGTCTCAAGTGGCCAAATGATATTTATTTTGGTGACAAGGTCAAGATTGGAGGTGTTATTGTGACATCATCTGCTATGAGTGGTACTCTGAGTGCAGTCATAGGTATATGACATTTATTCATTTCAATACATCTTTGGAGAGGGGCTTACATGTATTATTTACCTTGGAATCTTACAATTTATAATCAATGTATAATCAAGTGTAACTGATTCATCATCTTAACCCTATAAAAAATTTCAATGGCATAAGATCCATGTACCCTAGCTTTGCTTCAAGTCCTCTAATTGTAATTTACTATAAAACAGCTCTAGTAAATTTGTTTTAACTTTAAATATTTATTTTAGGAATGGGTGTAAACCTTACTAACAGTAAACCAACCATCAGCATCAACGAGATCATATCCCAATACAACAAGGAACATAACACCAACTTAGAGCCACTAGTTTTAGAGGAAATACTAGCAAGGACTGTTAACAACATTGAAACCCTCGTTGATGACTTCCAAGACAATGGATCAGATTCATTTCTAACCAATTACTACAAGCATTGGCTACACAGGTTTTTTTCTTTCTGTCTTCATCTTTGTATCATTTTTATAGTCAAGAACAATAATAATATTACATTTTTGTGTACATGTATATTGCAAAAAAATTCAAAAACATTCTTCAGAACTACAAGCTTTTCTTCTTTTTTTTGCTTAACAAGTTCTATATTTTGAACTAAAAGTAGCCTGTTAACAAGTTGGTGCTATAAAATGTTTTGGAACTTCCTGAATGATTCTTTTATTAGTGTCTGAAAAAGGAAATGCTGCAGCGTGCAAAGAAAGTAGTGTGCGATAGCCTGGGGCTGGTGGATTTTGCTATATTATTGGGCTAGTGAATTCTGTTTTTAACTTGCCCAATGCGCAGGTGATGTTTTTTGAGGAATTTGAATGACAGAGTAACTGTGAAATCAATTCTGCCCGTCAAAAAGCTTTTGGGGCTAGTTGAAATGACATCTGAGCTAGTAAATGCAAGCTTCAGCTTGCCTGAATGGCAAGCTGTAAAAACGATTTTCTTTGCACCCTGTGCTGGTGGACACAATTTGAATAACTACCAATTATTTTTATCTAGCTTTTGCCAAAGCATTTTCTAAAAAATAATGTACAGGTGTACTGATTGTGTAGCTTTCTAAATTCAAATTATTTATTTTTGTGGAGATAAGCAATACCAGTCAAACAGAGATTGGGTAAAGATATGCGGATCAAAAAAGTCACAAAACAGCACACTTGGATTGTTACCAACCCTGTTAATCGCCGCCATATAATATAAAAGTAATTATTTGAATTTATTGTAGTGATGCAAGGGTGAAGCTGGCAATGAATGGAACTTTGGAGGAAGTCAAGATAACTGGGCTTGATGATTTTGGATTTCTGTCAGTACAGACAAACTCTGGAAAAACTCTATCAGTACAACCAGATGGAAACAGCTTTGACATGCTTAAAAATTTAATTGCCATGAAAGATAGCTAGTCTGTTAAGGACATTCATAATTTATTGCTTGCATCATACATTGTATACAGGGTTCAGAAAAGTTTGGTGAAGAGGGAATAATACTATGAAATACATACTATCTACATGTACATGTAGGTTTGATTTCAGACAGATGTTGTGTTTTTTTATCGTTTCCGGTAGCCTCAATAGGATTGTTTGCCTAGTATCTATTCACCAGTTTAAAAAAATCTTCATATGAAATTTAGTAGAAAACTGCCACAAACACCTGAGTTTAAACCTCCATTTGCAAGTCATGGATTATTTTGTTACTACCAGTAATCATAACTGTAACAAAATTATCTCATCCAAATGGCTAGTAGGTGCTCTGTCTTCAGCACTAATGGGACAGTGTGATAGAACAGTATGGTCATTCCAATGTAAAATTGCATAGTACATGTCCATCTCCACACACTTTTTTCACTTTGCACAAAAAACCTTGGGGATATCTCATGTGTGTTTAATTCACAAAATAAGAAAAATTTTGTTACAGTTATGATGCATTGGTTTAATAGATCTTTTTGTTGATCAAACAAATTGGACTCCTGCTTTGGCTTTAAGGAGGCAGCATGGCCGAGTGGTCATTGTGTCAGACCCGCAATACGGCAGTCCCAGGTTCAAGTCCCACTCTGTTGACTTGCTGGATTTGTTAGTTGGTCACCCTGCATTCAAATCCTCACCCATGCTTGTAAATAGCCAACTGGTTGCCTCCTGCCAGTTGGGGTTTTTAATCATGTTATGTTGTATTTGAATTATATGTTTCTAAGTATTTGAGTGGAGTGCCTGTAAACTAGCTGGATAAGCTATTAAAATGCACTTTGCACTATAAACAAGCCTTTAAACCTTGTCTGATTTTGTTATTATTCCGATGCTTTGATTACTGACCTGATTGAACTCCACTCAATCCTGGTATCACTTTTCATTAGCCAATAAAATGTTATCAAAATCATTTAAATATTGTTAAAGTATCAGTAGAAATTAATGACTAAGGGTGTGAAAGTCCCAATTCACATAGGGAAATGTATTTTTTTGGCCTAATGTTACTAGAAAGTTTATCAATTGCTTGAATTTTTTAATGAAACCTTTTGCCTGCTTGGCTCATATACGACATTAATAGTTTAATTCCAAGACATTCTGGTAACAATATTACAAGTCATGTACTTGTCAATGAAATTATACATGTATGTAGTCATGTTAGTGTGATTTTACTTTATATATATCTGTTTCATGGGTCAAGTAACATCACTCTACATCTACTGTTGATCTAATAATAGTAAATAATAGAAAAACATTAAATAATATAATAATTAATTGCACACATTATAATTTTGTCAAATCAGTGGGTCTAGAAAATTTCAATACCCAGTCCATGGAGGGTCACTGGAAATTCTGAGTAAGAGGGGGTCAGGAGGCCATGATTTTAAAAGAACATCTTAAGCTAAAGGTAAATATAATAATGAGGTATTATTTATAGTAATCCAAAATGTGAAGAATAAGCATCAGACATTCTTTAAGAACAAAAATTATGAAGTTTCTATTACACCATTCCTTTAAAATCACCAGAAATCAAACATTGTGTTACTTTTCTTCTTGTTCAAGAGTTGACTTGTTTGGAATATCAAAAACAATTGGTGGATGGGAGGGTCTGTATTGCACTGTAACTGTTGAGGCATTTACAAATGTTGTAACTCCATCTGTAGTTATTCCATATCCTGTAAAAAGGGATTGAATGTAATCTTGAGGCTAGATTTAATCCTTGGTTTAAATTTTATTGGCTGTATTTTTAAAAAATTATTATGCATGTCATTGACTTTAAAAATAAAGCAAAATAAAATTCAAAGCTGAAAAAAAAAAGTACCACAAGTTAAGCAGATATGTTAGTAAAAGGTATAGTGTATATTACTGACGTTTTACTGGCCTTTGATTGTCTCTGTGGTGTAATAAGGGTGGAAGGTCTTGGACCATCATCTTTGTCTGGTGATTCTCAAAGGCAATGTTGTTTTAAAGGGTATTTTTCAAGTAACTTTTCTGCTGTCTTTTGTTATTGTTAGTAAGTTTCAGCATTTCAGCTGATTGTTATTAGCGCATTGTACAGTCAGTGAAAGTTCTGCTTCATGCATGTTTTTGTTGAAAGTCTAAACTGAAATAGATCTTACCTTGAGTGTTGGTTGCAATTGGTTAGGTAACTATTAAGTTAAATAATAATAACAATAACAATAATAACATCAACAAAATTGTACATCTACCTTCATGGATGTGCCCAAAAATATGATACTTGGGTTTGACACGTGACTGGACGGTGTGCAAAAGATTAAGGCATCCTGCTCTTACGTTTGAAATTGTGCGATCTCCATGGCCTGCAAAAGTTTTTTAATCTATCAGTTTAAATCCTACTTGAGACTGAACTAAAAAATAATTTCTGGTGAAAGGAAGGTTAATAAATCTTTCGGAATTTGCATCGTGTGTGGCTCCCATGAAATGGCCAAGTGAAGAATGATCTTGCTTTAGTTAATAATTAAATCTTCCTTTCTATTGGTTGAGTATCTGCAGTCAGTGGCGGATCCAGGGGAGGGGCCCAGGGGGCACGCCCTCCCCCTTTCTTATTTTTAGACCAAACTGAGGCCCAAAGGGCCGAAAAAAAAATGCTTAGACTGGGCCCCCCACCTTTGCTCAGGGTCTGGATGACCGGGGCCATCCCCTTATCTGAAGGTCTGCTCTTGCATCATATATTGATGTCCAGTGTGACGTCAAGGAGCATTGGTCAGCGTTGTTTTGACTGTTTTTGCAGCTGTTTTGGTGATCAAGCTTTTGTCAATTAATTTCAACACACAAAGCATTTTACAGGGAACATTAAAGCAATTTGGACCAGTAGCTTCAAAGAAATGAGTGAAAATCAAGGTGAAAGAACATTTGTCAGTGCATGCATCCCACTTTGCAGGCGATTTTAAGCTTAAAGCTTGATAGGTTGTGCGATGTGTTTGTTCTGACACCAAGGCACACCCACAATGAATTGGTTCTTTCCCCGCCGATCAATGTGACCGATGGATCAAATGAACTATGCTGAATCAAAGACTAGCCGGTGTCAGCTCAGCTCCGTACATTGATTGGCCGTTAAGACCAAGAGTGAATTGTCACCAAAATAATGCAAAATGGCTTTGAATACTCATTTAAGCTAATTTTCCTCAAATGTATCTTCGAATTCAGCTCCACAAGCTTCAAACAGGCCAGGCAGTGTGTATGGCAGAGAGAAGTGCTTGAACTGTAATAGTTTGACCATGTTACATGTAACTATTCAGTGCCTGCGTAGCATATTGGTCATGAGGGAGCTGTACTCTCACACAGGAGGTAGTCATAGTGTAGGTTTGAATCTCCATGTGGATATTTTTGTTTTCTTTTTTTTTTCACATTTTTTCCTGTTTAGTTTTAGTGTTTTTTTTTTGTTTTCTTTTTTCATCACATTAATTTTTCCCTTTTGCTTGTTTCCCTTTATTCTCACTACTGACAATTTTTTAGCTTGCGAGGTTTTTCTGGTAACATATTTCTAGTTATAATGATAAGGATGACTTTAATTTGCCACCTTATTCAGTTAATGTATAACTATAAAAAAATGAACATCGCTGGGTGAAATACATAACATCGTTCACATTTTCACTAGAAATGGAATTTGGCCCTTAATTCTTGCACTCAGCATCGCCTGTTTGAGTTTTACTTTCTCTTGCTGTATGTTGTACATTCTGTTAAATTTAACAACATAATGACAAAGTATTTATAATTCATTGTTAAATTACCAAGAGGTGGACCATGGGTGACAAGGATATCAATGCCATCAGGAATTTTGTTCCACATTTCTTGTATTGATTCACCACGTGCTTTCATAAAGGCCCAATCACAAAACTCTGGTGTCCTGAAAAAGAGGTCTTATCAGACTAATGAGAAAAAAAAAATTAAAGAGAGTTGAGTAAAAAAAAAAAAAGAGAGAGAGAGACTTATGTAAAAGGGGACAGGCATTAGTAATGATTAATGGTTTGAAATAAGCTGCAGATTAAAATTTTATTTTTGGAAAAACGGCTAAACTGGGGGCAGAGAATTACCTCTGCAACCAAAACCAGTCCTAAACAGCAAGATACTTTATCAAAGTCCGTAGTTTTGTTGCTGTAACAAGTCTCGAGTAGATCGAGTTTTGCATTAAACGAATTTCACCATCGTCACAAGGGATATCCTGTACTCCAAAAAATTATTATGTATTTCAAGTTTATAAAGCATCGCTAACGATAATCAGACAATCCATTTTCTCCATAGCTTACATTATAAGAAAAAAGATGGTTACAATCATGCCTCACGCCTCCCATGGGGAGAGGAAGGGGAAGCGGATAAAAATATGGAATGTCTTGGTGAAAGATCTCTCACCATGGAGAACCAAAAATTCGAAATCCAAGAACATCAACTTCCTCGTCTTCTAAATATATACAGTTTGTGAGCTGCCGTCGAATTTCTTCTGGTTCATCTTTTTTACTTGAAAAGTAAGACCACAAAGAGTCGTAACTTGAAAGATCAAAACCAACTTCGTGGTTGCCAGCGATAACAACTTTGTAAGGATGGCTCAAAGTACTTAAAAATTTGTTGAAGTGGATGACTTGATCGCGTGTTCCACAACTTGTGAAGTCTCCTGCGTGTATTAAAACATCACCATCAGGAATAGGGTATTCCAGCCTGTCTGTTCTATTGTGTGTGTCAGAAATGCAAACGAATCTGGTATGACCAGCCGGCTTTGGATGATTACAATCCATCCGCTTAACTTCTTTCACAACTTGTGACGATTCAAGAAGATTCCAAGCGATTGTCGGTTTGTTTGCGTGTTTCTCGAGAACATTTTCTGTACTAGCACTTTTTAAAAGTTTCTTCTTCGACAAAAGCTTTTTCATCTTCTTTCTTAATTCAAGGTAAACTTCCGTCACTCGTTCAACCTGTGACACTCTCAGCAAATTTTAATTTTCAGCAGGCGTTGCAAAAATGACAACAGATTGGGGAGGGAGAATAAGGACTAGTCGGTACCAGATCGCAATCTAAGGGTCCTAGCTCGGTCTTAAGCTCGGTCCACATTTCTCTACCCTTCGCGCGTCGTGTAGTGTTCGGCTTGATCACTCTACTTCTTTTTTTTCCCGCTCTCCTCTGTATTGGCCGCTCTTTAAATCACTTTACGCTGAATATCCATTGATTGTAGCACAGCATTATGCCCTCAAACAAACGAGACAAAGGAGGAGGAGGAAGTGAAGTCCGAACAGCTGGGACGCCGAGTAGTTTCTCTATGTTTCAGTTGCTCATATTTTTAATCGCGACTTCTTCGATGGCAATGAACTTTGCAATGCTATACGGGTATATTCCAATCAAAGGTAAATTTATGAATTCTTCTTTTTTTATTTTTGTGTTGTTCTTAAAGTTAAGCAATTTTCGTGACCCCTTCAAGAAAACTACCGAGCTTTTTTCCAGACTCAAATGCTTGAGCTGAGGTCGTACACCCAGCTGAGGTAAAAAAGTTTCATTCCTAACCCACCCGTTTTGTTTTTTTAAACTGTTATATATATTTAAATATTATTTCAGGATGCGAGGGTCCCCCTGGAAAAACAGGCGAGAGAGGTGAGAACATTTTAATTTGTACGGTTTCCAGAAGAATCTACGCAAAGTTCATTAGAAAAAAAGCTTAAGCTTATATGTTATAATCAAAACAAACGAAAGGATTGTAGCTGCTGCCTCTGCTTATTCTGTTCTACAGCAATACATATTTTCTTTTTCTATTCAATGATATTTGTTGATGATATTTTTTTAAAATTTTCTTTCTTAAATTTCAGGTCATGCGGGTCCCCAAGGAGAATCCGGTTCTCCCGGTAAGCCAACACAAAATCAGTTTCATTAGAATTTTTAAAGCAAAAAAGTAATATTCTTCGATAAATTTTCGCAACTTTTTCAGTGAACATTGGTCTCCAGTGATTTTTCCAGTTTGCATTAGTGTGCCGTGACATGTCACGCTTTCAGTCGCTCTTTAAAGAAGCGAGAAGCCAACAAAGTAGTTTTCTTTTTCATTGCCATTATTTCGAAATACGAGCACAAACCATTTGCTGGGTTTTTTTATTTAACTTACAGGAAGCCTGCATCATGAATAACTTTGTTAGGATTTTCGAGTTCTTGTTGTTGTGTGTCACGCATTTTGATTCACGTCCGCGCCCGTCGACGTGGCAGATTTCATTCCAATCCCTGCGGGCAGCGACGAGTAAGGCTTCCCGTGTACATATGTATGCTAAGTAGAGTAAATAATGCTATGGAAACGAATCATTTCATTATACATTTCTGGAAAGTGAGTAGAAATTGATTAATTAAGATCACTTTCAATATTTATCTAGTAACCCTAAAATAAATAAAATAATTAAGAAAATACTATTCAACAAGCAAACACAATAAAGACAAGAGTCCTTTATATTAGCCTTATAAAATTAATTTGTTGTGATTTAATGCCTGTTAAAGCAGAAGGGTGTGGATAACATATTTTTGATAAAAAGCAAAAACATTGTTTTAATTTCTTTTAATTTGAGAGAAAAATCTCATTCAAATTAAGGCTGCATAGAATAAAATAATTATGGCAAATTTTTAGAAAAGTCAGTCATTTTGAAAAGGTTGCTTTGCAAAAAAGGTATGAGATTTTGAGTACTTGAAGGTCAACGACAAAATCATTTGTCTGATGGTCGTTAATAATCTATTAATCTTACTGACTTGATACTGATATAAGTTACAGGTTTATTTTAGTTTATGATTTTCTGTCTTCTGCCTGTTTTATTTTTGAGAGGAATAAACAGCTACTTTGACTCTTTTTACTTTATTCTCACTGATTAGGGCTTGGTTTAGACATCAAATTTCACATGTGCCGAATTAAACTCCTATGAGTGGACTAAAACTAGTAATAGTCGATACTAGAGCTGCCCCCACTCTGTACATTGTCGATCAATAGTAGAAGCTACCAGTAGTCAAGATGCTAGGATGCCTCCTCGGGATTTTGCCTTCTGTGCGAAATCCCTGAGGGGGCAATAATTGAATACCGCAGTTAATTCAGATGTCGGTGTCCAATTTAACTCTGTTTGTTGACAGAAAAAATATTCCTAGTTACTAAAGAATTTTGTTATTTAAGATGGTTAAAGTTTCTATAAAATATTAATGCATTATATTCGGCACATGTAAAGTGCTTTGTCTGAATCAAAAAAATAATGTCAAACCTAATTCGACTTTTCGACTCTTTCAGTTACAGATTTAGCAAATGTCCAGTTTAACTGATTTAGACATCGCATCTCGCATGAAGTGAATTCTCAAATTAAACTGAGCGCACGTGAAATTCAATGTTTGAACTGGACCTAATCAATAACAACTACTTTTGCAGTGAAACAGTTTAATAACAGCTTAAAACTTCAGTGAAATAAATGACATTTTTGAGCCTTTTAAGAAGTTGTGAATTAAACATATAAAAATAGGTCTTCCTGGCAAAGCAGGAAATAAAGGTGCAGATGGTGTTCCAGGAGAAAAAGGTGACAGGGGTAACCCAGGGGAACCAGGACCCCAGGGAGAAAAAGGACCCCCAGGGGAAAAAGGACCCCAGGGAGAAAAGGGGATACCAGGTAGACAATAACATGACCATGTCTCTTATAAATTATAAGTTTTAATGTAGATTTGCTTTGTTGAATTGTGTTTAGCGTGCATGTGGACATCTCCCTTTTCTTTTGTTACTCTTGAAAAAGATACCTCTACATATCGCCATCGCTAGTCATGTTTCAGTTTCCCAAGATCTTGGGAAAGGACTGTGATTGACTGCTTTACAGTGGGAGTTGTTGAAATAGATTCTGATTGGTTGAAAGGCACAATCTTTCTTCTTCAGGGATTTACAAACCCACATTAAGTTAGTTTGGCAAAATAAACATTGTTTGTTATTGAAGGGCTAGCTAGTAGAAAAAAGATTATTTTTCAGTTATATACAACTGTCTGTATGTTTGTAAATCCATTGCTTAACAGCCAGACACTGAAAAGGAATCATTTACACATTTATTTGTACAACATTAATACCTGAAGTTGTTGATTTACATTGGTCTGTAAACGTCTCTTCATCAAATTTCATTTTTTATTGTAAATGTTTCATAGCACATCTTGGGCTTTTTGTTGTAGGTGAACCAGGCTTAAATGGTGAGAGGGGCCCTCAAGGGCTCCCAGGAGAAAAAGGAGACATAGGAGCTCCTGGGCAACAAGGAACTCAGGGTGAAAGAGGACCCAAAGGGGATGAGGGTGGGACAGGTACCTCATCCAATTCTGTATATTCTAAGCCTTCTCTTTATAAATAAAAAAATAGACCTTAACAAAATTGAACTATGCTGAAAATTGTAACAATTTTGATTAAAATAAGTTTCTTACAATCCACACTGTAACTTAAACATAAATTTAATTAACACATTAATTTTGTAAATTACACACATTAATTCTTTTAATTTTGTGACTTGACGTATTAAACTTGTTATATAAACAGTTTAAACATACAGTTAATGTTCTGAATGTTGATTATTAATAATTGGTTTTTGGACTATTGTTAAATTTTATATCACAATAGTCAACTCTCTTTAAGATGGTCATTTAGTGAGCAAAGAAAGTAGTGTCCAATAGCCCAAGGCTAGTGGGTTTTGCTATTGGGCTGGTAAATTCTGTTCTTAACTTTGAGGAAATTCAAATATTTTTACAGAAGAATTGTAATTAATGCTCATTTAAATTTTTTTTTTCATTGATGAATTTTCGGCTACAGTAGTACATGCTACAGGTTGCCCAAATGGCAAGCTGTAAAACTGTCTTTCTTTGTACCCTGTCATTCTCAGCACTGTCACTGTCAGTCCTCAGCTTTATATACAGTGTACAGTTAAGAAAATGTCTGAAGAATGGTAAAGGCCAACTGTAGGTCCAGTAGGTGTCTTTTCAAGGGAGTTGACTGTATTACAATAACAGTAACTGTAACTTAATTAACTTGAATTGCTTGATTGAATTCTCTGTGTTTGATATTCAGGTCCACAAGGACCAGCAGGTCCCCAGGGAGAGAAGGGTAAGTATAAATGGAGCTGTGCCACTGAATTTAAACTTATGGAGAATTTACTCAGTAGAATATTATTTTGAATTTTTTAGGTTTCTGTGCCCCATGAATGTTGCAACACCCATAGATGGCATTGATACAAAAGAACAAAAAATATAATACTACACCCTATTGACATTTATGTACTACATGTATGTAGTTTTAAAATTACATTGGAAATAATCAAAATAAAGAGCCCAACATATTTGCATTTCTTTGCATTTATATTTCTCAGGAGACACTGGCCCAGAAGGACCCCAAGGTCCACAGGGATCCCAAGGTATGTATGCAAAATACAAAGTAATATTATAAATGTATGCAGTTTCAGAGGAATCGTTTTTGACACACAATTGCCTTCCTCTATTTCTATTGATGGAAAATAATGTAAAGAAAGTTTAAATATCCAAAGAAAGGGCTGCTCAGTAGTCTTCTGTTAAGAGGAAATAAATTTAAAGCCCAAACTTGCATGTAAATGCTGAGCGTGGTCCCCATGCAATGCATGCTGAAGTAGTTTCGATTCGATTATTGTGTAACTGTGCCTCAGTTTTGTTTGAAATGTTATTACAGGACCTCACGGAGAGAGAGGACAGGACGGAGCTAGAGGAGAGAATGGTAATGAAGATTGCAACCTTGATGCATTCAATCTTATCAGTACAAGGTTTTGGGGCATGGAAAAAGATATTAAAGGACATGTGTCACGAAATTTTTCAAAATTCAAGCAATGGGAACTGCCACCAAATTGAGTGAAACGTAAAAAAATCCCTTAAAACATTAATTAAGCCTGGATGGACAGACTTGAAGACAATTAAAAGGGATGTGAATTGTTTTTCAAAGTTCAATTTTGTTTTTTGTAATGTTTGGTTTAATGCTTGAGAGACATGCATGTTTTGTTTGACACGACGCCATGATTTTGTTATTTACATGTACAAGTCCGGTAGTTTCTTCACTAACGTTGAGTTCCATAGTGAAAAACAAATGGCAGTATTAACAAAATGGAATGGACAGCAGCTGTGGCCTGCACAGCCCCTACTTAGAACATTCTAACTTCACTTTTGTACGGTGTTGTGTTTTATGTTTTAATCCAGTTTTTAAAGAAAAATATTTAAGTCCAATCTCATAAGGTTAGGCCGACATTTTGTGCAATTTAACTTGACATTATTTTGAATGCTCCTTAAGGAGTTCCAGGTCCACAAGGCCCCCAGGGAGAACAGGGACCACAGGGAGAACAGGGACCCCCTGGTGAACAGGGTCCTCAGGGAGAACAAGGAGCACCTGGACCACAAGGACCCGCTGGGGAAGCACATACAGGAGGACAATAATGGCTTACCAAAAGCTGAAATTCAATCTGTAAGTTATAAAGCGTTATCCAGTAACTAAGCATTACTCTTTACTCTAAGCTCTATTTTGTATTCGTCAGTTGCTTCCCAAAAGGATCTTGGTGGGAGTGTTTATGTACGAACTAGATGTGGTATTAGCAGTAGCTGGATAAATGGTTGTTTCCTTAGTGAAAGTTGAAAGTTCATGTTTCAAGAATTAGGCCCGTTTAAAACACATTTCCATTAACAAGAAGCTAAGGCCCCTTTGATTAGGAAAGTGGAACAATATCCTCGTCTGAAAAATAAGTTGCAAGTTTGAACAGGCCACACATGTATGTATACAACAATAAATTAAGCTAGTTGTAATTGTTTAGTGATCAATTTATTAACCGCTTTCCTTGTGCTTGTGCTTATCTCGTTATTTTTGGTGTTTTTTCAGGATAAATTTGAATGAGGAGGTTACCTTGCCGCAATCTTTTCCTACCTGCTATGAACCGGACAACTGTAAAACAATTTTTTTGCCATTGTAAGCGGTGCATCCCTGATGTCGTTATCAATTTGGGAAAGGAAGACAGTTTTTTCCGGTTGATATTGATCGTTTGGTTCCGTTTAGTATATGCCAGATTTAATCTTTGCAGGATTTTATACTGTGATATTAAGCCATTTTTAACAAGATTTCAAGAATTGCTCAACTCAAAAGTTAATTAGAAAATGACATTTTCTCAAAGTGGCCAAGAACAAACAGGATGGTTGGAAAAAGTACTACTAATAGTAGGCCTCGATGGATGGTGGTCACACTTCAGCCAGACTGAAAATAGTCTGCTACACAACCGTTTTCAGTGCGTCACGCAACGCTCCTCCTCACTAGCGTTGCGCGTTGCGTGACGTCACCAAAAACGACTGTGTAGCAGACTAGACTGAAAGGTGACTGGGGAAAATACTGCTAATTAGCTTTCTTTACACGGCGGTTGCACTGCATCGAACATAGTTTTGCTAGGACTAGTCTACTGCTTGTTTTTCTAAGTAACGGTTCCCCATGCTTTGGGCATTTTACTGTATTTTCTAGATGGAAATATGCTGCTAAAATTGTTATAGCTTATTTACAAGTATTTTAAATTTTTAAAGACAAATATTTTAGTATTTGCATAAACCAGTTTTGAAGTTTTTCTCATAACTGTATGACAAAGTATTTTCCTGGAGAATTTTTCAATTCCTTATAATCCCCTGCACGTATTTTTCAGTGATTTATAGTTTCAAGAGATGATTGATTGCTTACAATTGACGAATATTTCGTCTCGTACTGGCCCAATTTTGTGCCTTAATATTCTTTGCGGCTTCCGAAGATTTAAGCTTATTTATTTTTATATTGCGTTTTAAGTTTCTTTATCTCGTGTAAATCTTAATTGTCTTCTTTTCCTCTGAAAACCCGACCTGGCATATAACATATTTTAGACAAGTGAAAAATCAACTGTCAAATTGCTGTTTTCTGTGACAAGTTGTAATCCCTTTTTGATTGAAATTATTATCTACTGTTAGCTTAGCTTTTAGTCTCTGTAAACGTACATTTTGTCATTCTTTTGTGGGTTCTGACATGAAGACCATAATGACGATAGATCTCAGTGTTACGGATCGAAGGTATGGCTTGGAAGTTTCCACAAAGTTCACGACACAGCTCTACATGTAGATGGTATTGAATAAAAACCACTCCAGTTCTGAATGTATGTTGTTGTAGTCTACTTTTTTACTGGGCTGCCTCAGGGCACGCCCAGTTATAAAGTCGTCCCCGTAATATCCGGGCACTTTTACATACGGGCACTGTCAATTGTTCACCCTGTTTAACCCAGAGGGCGTTGCGTGTTTCGACAAACCATGTATTCCCTTCGAGAATTTCGCACACAAGTTCAATAGCCTGCGAAGCTGGCGGTTTCAGTTTGGCGAGAGGGCAAATGAGCTGTGAATAGAGAAAGCAAAGCGTTTAAGAGCAAGGCAAGTCACTTACTAGTGCAGCGTTTGGTGACTTTGCCTCCTATAGCTTACTGTTGTTCTCAGTATGTCCAGAGTTTTTTCTTTTGTCTTTTGTTTGTATCTGTATCTTGCTAAGCTTTTATCTGAATTAAATTTGTGCATAACCTTGTTATGCTGATCTCCCAAGTTCTGTGTCTTCTCCCCTTCAGCAAGCACGACTGATTAGAGTTTCGATAGACGTTGAAAGTTCACAGCTCGCTTCAAGTTTATCGCCATATACATACCTTTTTTTTGAAGATGTAAACTAAATCCATCGAAAATGGGAACTTGAAAAAACCTATATAAATCGATTTCACCCGAAACATAAGCTTGACTTGCACATGTAAAAGACGTGTATTTTACTGAAGGTGTTTTGAATAAGTACACTGTAAATGTGACGGAGAAGTACAGTATTATATGAATGAACCATAGGGTTTCAATTAATGTAAAGGCTAATTATTATGCATCGAGCGTTACGCCTTAAATTTCGAAGGAGTACACAACAAAATAATTGTTTTGCATGAAAATACGTTAGTTATGGCTTGAGAGGGCCCCTCCACCTTTTGAAATATAAATAAATAAAATTAAGTACAGTTCAGGAACCTCCATATTGCGAAGGGCCAAAGCACTGATAAAATATGTTCGTTATAACGAGGTTCGTAAAATATAAGGCAATTTATGAAAAAGAACCTCGATATGTTTTTTTTTTTACATACCATTATATTAGGCCATTTTAAAGTTAAGGATGGACGCGAGGCTGACGGTGACCTTAACCTTCGTGCTTTATTATGTAAATCAAGTTATTCTTATGCTAATTAGTAAAAGCATATGCTTCCCGCTAACGACCACTCAAAATGCCGAGGTCTGACTGGTCGCTTATATGAAAGGTCAGGCCGCAGACGGTCTGTACCAGTATTTACTCATTGGAAGATAATTTATTGCAAATTACATGCAGGCACTGCATTATGTACATTTCCCTTAAGTCAAAGCAAGGAAAACACGGTGATTCGGTTTGCTACTAACATTTTATTTATGCTTCTCCATGTGTGAAGTAAACTACTTGAGTAAGCGAAAACTTATATCGGCATCTTGATTCATGACGATATTGTAGGCTGGTGTTCCTATTGAAGAAAAAGAGACGTTTATTTGGAAGTGGGCGTTTATTAGGCCATTTACGGTATGACGGTTGGGTGCTGACATGGGCCAGGTGAGTTATCATGGCCCGGGACTGGGCTCCTTGGTTGGCAAAAAGGGAAAAAGGGTAGCTAGGAGTAAGAAGAGGAAACCCTGGCGGCCCCCATTCCCCATTCCTCAATTTGCCTCGAGTTTTCGGCCATGTTCAGTACTCTTATCGACTTGAAAACAGCGTCTTATTGGCGAGTTTTTTTACAATAGAGAGATTTGGAGTCACGTTTACGGCAAACGTCAAACTTCAATATGTACCACGTGGCCAAGTTTTCCCTCTGCTTGTCGTTTGGGTGTTGATTATATGTAAAGAATTATTAGAAGTTTCATGCTATTTTCATCAATAAGAGTGATTCTGGACAATTTTTATCTTCTCATTTCCAATTTTGAGAACGAATTGTCAATTTGAATCTGACCTTTGGCGTTTGCCTTAAACGTGATTCTAAATATCTTTATTGTAAAAACAAGTATAGGCACGGGAGGCTGCGATAAAAATGGCAAGGTAACCTGGACATCGCAGTAATTAAGTGGTCAGTTCTAATCCACTGACATCAGTCACTGGAAAACAGTATGCAGTCATTTACCTTCACTTATCAAGGCAAGATGAGTTAATGATTTCTTGCGTTTTGTTAAACAGGCTGTGGAAGTCAATAACCTGAATAACATTTTCCGGTTTCCCCATGGCGATTCTTATCAACTCATTTTTCTTGATGTTCCTTCCAACTCCAACGGCGATAACTTTGACACCTTTTTGCTGCATATAAAACAGTATTTTTTCTCAATATTATACAGTTGAACCTCTCTACAACGGTCACCTTAGATTAGGGACAGAGGAAAGTGGCCATTGTAGAGAGGTTGAAACAGGAGTGAATGTATGGACTGTCTGCCAAAACAAGGCCGTTGTGGGTGGGGGGGGGGGCGTTAGTCGACGAGGTTCGACTGTATAAAGCATTGTCAATATGGTACAACGAGAAGGATGGTGGGAAGTGAGCTCAATGCAACACCATGATCATTAGTTTAACGCTCTTTATAATGTGCCTTCGTGACTAATATACGAAGTATATTGTTCCACGACATCAGTGAAATGAAAAAACTGTAGGAAAACCGTTGACTTTGCGTGGATGAATACAATAACCGGGAGCTACACACATTCTTAAATTTCTCCTTGGTCATATTGCTGGATTTTTACCAGCAACGCGCTTCCTCATTTTTTACTTCAATGTCACATGACATTAAACAGTATCCGCTCTGTTTCCGTCCAAAGGTTCTGCAGGGAAGTCAGAAGGTAAAAGTGCGAATGATGTTCTCTCTAGACTATAAGAGTTCCTGTTCCATCCTCTAACTTGTTGAACCCGAACGTAAAGTAAATTTTACTGAGCTCTTTATTAGGAAGAAATTAGATTTACCTGTAGTGGGATAAGAGCATCTTCGTACGGTTCACTGGCGGGATTTGTTCTCCCGTCTGTCAGGACGATAAGTACATCCGGTTTGTTTGGTCTTTCACCATACGCTACTGTAAACAGCTTCTCTCCAGCTTTTCTGAGCGCTCGGTCGATAAACGTTTTTCCTTTCAGCTTTGTAGTATTTTTCAAGATGTTTTTGATGACAGAGGGGTTCTGCTTATCCAGATCTTTAAATGCGACCAGTATCTCTGCATTAATGTTGAAAACTATGAGTCCCAGGTGACTTTCTTCTGGAGAGATTGTCATGGAATTCACCAGGGTCAACACAAAGTCCTTGGCGATTACAAAGTTCTCCTTTCCAACACTGTTGGTTGCATCTAGGAGCACTCCAATATCTATGGCGCGAACGCAAGGAATGGGGCCTAAAACCAGGTCAAACTTTGTTAGTTTAGATCTAAGCATAGTGAGGCCTAACATAGGGTTGGCGGGATGCGGGATTAGCATTTTTTTCGTTGCCGGGATTCGGGATAAAAGAAGATTTAAAGGTCGGGTGCGGGATGGTCAGGAGTCAGCGGGAAGCGAGAAGTTCGTCATTCTCGTGGCGGGACGCGGGAAATCATGATATTAGCAAGGCGGGAACCGAGATGGATCAGATAACAAGGCGCTAAGATGATTTACGATTCCGTGAAGACCACGCGTGTCACACATTCGAATTCTGCATTACACCTAAACGCAGCTTCTCATACCGTTGCTCTACATGAAGCGAGAATAATCAGTCTGATCCTGAGAATCAAAGACTTCTGAAATGGTTGCAATCTGATGGAAAGATTGAAATGAATGAATCATTCCTCAGAAACATGACAAATATGGAATGCGTGCCGTGTTGCCGCCGACGTCGATGGTCCTTATGGAAGTGTTGCCCCCGAAACACTGAGTGAACTCGGTACAGCTGCTACTGGATAGGGCTTGAAACATCAGCAAAACCTGGAACAATTTTCCTACGGCAACACGGATTGCGTGAGTTGTATGATCCTTGATGTGGACAACCTTCATCACAAGAGCCAGGTCAGCACAGCGTTGCAATGTACTCCTGAGCTCGAAAACGGATATCAAAGAGGGGCTAAAACGAACAATTTCCTGTTGGACGCATCGCATGTATCATCGAGGAACATGGTATCCTCTTCCTGAACGGTAACTCAGTCGGCCTCTTACGTGCCTCTTCGACATCCCTCAGATGGAAAAACCTGCTGTAGGTGTCAGTTAATCACGAAAAAATTGCGATGATGCGACACCGGGCTAAGGCTTTTGGTCCCTTAGTGCAACAGAGAAAAGTAAACCCAGAAATAACAGTAGGGAGAGCTGGTACAGTGCCGGACTATCTTTACCAGAAGGAGGTGCCAGTCAGAGTGAAAACATCAGATTGACTTCAACGGCAGAGCCAGTCACCACCGTTGTCTCAAACACTAACACCGGATACTCCAAGGATACTCCAGCACTCCTGACCCTGCGCATGCTCAACCTGGCAGTATAGAGTCAGATGAACGAAGCGAATATGAGTCAAGCAGAGAAGAGGAAACACCTGAAGAAAGTATAATCTTCCCACAGACTAAAGTGACAACCTAAGAACTGAGTCGAGATGTTGACTTTTTGGTGTGCGTGACATCGCTTACGCAGGCTATACTGCATTTGTTTTTGTTTTTTTACTGTTAACATCTAAGGTTGTAAATCTTATGTGCGGATGTCCGAATAAACCTGGGCATAGATACAGATTCCCATAATTGTTCGTGATTTCTAGTTTGGTGTGACTGAGGGCCTTCGTTATGGTCCATGCGCTGTTCTCCGATAAAGAAAACGTTTGCTTTATTCGTCAAAACTTACCCAGAAGAAGAAAAATTTAACAAACTAAACTGACTGCCGCTGTTTTATCGTGAGCAAAGGCCGATTGCTAACCCTTAAACTCTCGAAAACTGCGTCCAACGGGAAAAAAAAGCGACTGTCGCGGCCAAAAGAATTTCGGTAGCCGGATCGGGATGACACGTCCGAAGCAAGCGAGATGGCGGGATGAAAGAAAAAATAGTGGCGGGAATCGGGATTTGGAAACCCTATTTTAGGCCCTCAGTTAAGGTTTGCGCGTTAGTTTCTTTAGGTCCAAGACAGTGTACGCATAAGTTAGTTTACGCATTAGTCATAGTTTAGATCAACGTCTATTAAAGTTAGTTTAAGTCTAAGCATAACGATGTAATAATGTATTCTTCACCAACTAATAATGCATGCATCACCCTTTTCATATACATGTATGAGGTAAAGTCTATTGAGAAAGGGTCTCTCAATTCAAAATTTAACTATTTCGTCAATGATTGCTATATAAACCTCAATTTTCTACAAGGAAGACGTATATATTCGCGCACACACCCATGCGTGCAGCTGAAATCTGGGGAAAAAAATTTATATTTGTTGAAAGCATTTTTATCATTTAATCGAGATAACTGTTAATTTTTTTGCATTACATTTGTGTCTTTGTGCAAGTATTTCCTTTACGCCCTTTTTGTTCTATAAACGGTCTGCAAGAAACGCTATGGGATGAAAGAGACTGATATACGATACTACATGGTCTCTTACACCAATAACAATCTAACACTGTTTTTATTTTCATATTTTCAAAATTGTAGCATAGTTATTAGAGGAGACTGGTTATGAAAAGCGGCAAACATCAATGATAAAAACAACAGTGCTGCAGTTTATGTTCAAAGCACCGTGAAAGTGCACAATCCTTTGTTTTCTGTTGGCAAATTGTTACGGAATAAATTAATGCAACGTTTTTATTGGTCAATACAATCAAAATGATAGGAATTCTTTTGAACGTTGTGCACTTTCAGGTCCACAAAAACATATAACAAAGGAGTCTGACGGGTTTCATAACCATTCCACTCAATTAACTATGATTGTAGCGAACTTTTAGTTTATCTTCATCGTTCTTTTAGCCCCTGAAGAAGGTCTGTTTTCAAACCGAAATATTGGGCAAATTTGTTTAAATATTTTTTTTGTTGTTTTATTATTTTGTTTCCTTTTTCATCGCTTCATATTTTCTTTAAGTTATTATTCATCTTTATTGTACTGATCCAGGTCCACAACCGGGAGAACCGGCACCTTTTAACGGTTTGTTGCTGTGGACTTGCTAATATTTTATATTTTTGTACCTCCTAGTTTGGAGCGCCTTCGACGCTCATTCATTTCTTTCCGTACGTACACCTTCAAAATCTCACCCTACACCCCTGCCAAAATCTAAAAGAAGATTTAAAATGGTAACCAAATGCTTATATGTCATCTAACTATTTGTCAATTACTGTTACAGAATTTGTTGGTCAAACCCATGATGATGATTATGCACACGATGATTTTTAATTTGTCTTGTCCACCTTTAAAAAGGGTTTTGTTTAGGGTTTTGGTCAGGCAAAGACATTTGTGTAGACTCCGATCGACGCAAAACGGCAGAAACCGGATGGTGACGTTTTTAGCCAATAGGATTTGTTGTTTGCTTGTTTCTTTGTTGTTTCTGCGGCTTAACACTGAGTTCCCTGCCGACCACTGAGATGAAATGAGTGTATATAAGGTCGTGGGGGTCGGCATTTCAATCTGGATCTGGTTCTACGTTCTACACATTTCGTCCCATTTTTAATACCATCGACTTTATTGAACAAAAAAAAAAACGTTGACGACACTGTTTTTTAATTTATTAAGGTTGAGTTATGCCTATTAATGAGGCATTCTCAGTTAACTGTAGGCCAAGCTAACCGGCGGTCATTCGTACTGTCCATTTTAACAATTCTGAATATGCAGTGCAAGGTCGGGAGTTATCCTCAACTACGAAACATCAGAAAAAATATTGTTATGGCAACTGCCTCGATCGATTGTGCGCCTATGTACTAGCTACGAATCTGAGGTTTTGTAGTTATAAAGCTTTTAATTATAACAAGAAAGAATTTATAAGGCTAACTGGGGGAATTTAGCCAGATTGCTTATGGCGCAGTGCAATCAATTAATTTATAATTTACGTATTGCTCCCTAATGTGAAAGCTCAGGTAGTCAGGATTGAATAAATTCCTACAGACATGTTTATTGTATTTTGTACCTTGTATACGACTGCCGTGAAATTTGTTTTCTTCGTTAGACGCTATTAAAGGGTCAAAAGTAATGTGAAATATATTTCTACTCACATGCAAAATCTTTACAAGGCTCAGTCTTCTCCTTCTGTCCATCGCAGTCCTTGCCTTCGAACTGAGGTGGGGGGTTTGTGCAGGTTCGAATATATTTTTGTGTACCACCTCCGCATGTTTTAGAGCATTCCTGGACTGGCTCCCAAGGGGTGAAGCCACCGTCAATAGCTTGAAAAAAGTACCATAGATAAATTAATAGTGTAGATAACGAAGGCCGGTGTGTTATTTGTGATGTGGTATGATAGATTAGCAGCCAGAGGTCTGTTATTAAGACTGTGTACAAGCATACAGCCAGATGAGTGGCAATTATAAAACATTTGGAACACTAAAACATGTTTCTGAAGAGCTTTACATTTGTTCAGGCCAAGATGCTGAGACAATGACGTGGCCTAGACTCCGGCGATGGGAGTCCAACAGCGGCTATGAGCTAGGCTTTCCTTTTATAAATGAGAATATAGGACAACCTGCGCCGCTAAGCATGTAAGCAAGGCTTTTGCTTCTTTTTCGTCGTTTCTAACCCAAGCATCACCATGGCGCTGTTCTTGTTCTTTGTTTGTATCTTCGTTCTCGTTGCTCCCGTCACTAGAGGAGCTAAAATTAAAGCTATGTTCACACTATAAAGGATAGCTTTTGCGCCGGCACCAAAACCATACCAGATAGAGCTTGTTTCTGTTCACACATAAGAATGGTGGTTTTGACGCGATTTCTCGCTGTAACGGAGCAAAGCTGCCCCTCGCCGATCTCTAAAGTGGAGAAACACATATCGGATAGGTGTTCATACTACGTACACCGGATAGATTTTCGTGTCGGCACAAAAAGTTATCTGACAGAGTGTGAACAAAGCCGGAAACTTTACATTTTTAAGTGGATCCATTCGTGTAACACTTGTCTCTCTTTAAAGCTCGAGCACACATTACCACGATTATCTACTTACGGCATTCTTTGACGTTACAGCTTCGAGTTTCCTCTGCAGGCCCTTGACAATCCTTGCCCTGGGGGTCTGGTGGTGGATTCGTGCATGTTCGTTCCCTGACCTGTTTTCCAGTACCACACGTTTTGTCACATTTGGTCCAGTCTCCCCATTCACTCCATTGTCCATCATTTGGTGACTTTGGTTCTAGAACGGTGCCAAAGAATGATTTTGAGGAATCTTCAAATCAAAAAGCGTCCTCAGATAGATTGAAGGTGGCCATGCAATTAAATATTGAAGGTAATCTCCATCTGGTTCACCCATCTGAAACATGACTCATCAGGACCTGATCTAAAAATAGCTTAAATTGATATATCCTCAAAATGAAGCGAGTATGATGGAGACTTTCTCTGTGTTATCTTCTTACTAATTTTTTTATCAACTAATTTTCACGTACGTTACGCTTCCTTGTAGCAAAACAATACAGCAGAAAGTGTGGGCACTAAAACAACTGAAGGGAAAAAAATAGGATAAAATCTTGAATGCTAGACAATGTTCTAAACAGATATATGTGGGTCCGACAGAAGATAGACGGGAAGAGAAATTTTTACCAAACCACTACCTTCATTGAGAACGTAAACGTAATTGGTGCTGTCTTGCCCGATACATGGTTGATCGGAGGCCATGTCGCAGTACTTCCACTCATATTGATTATTTTTGTAAAGCAAATCCATAATGCACTTTTTTTCGTTAGCTTTTCCAAACTTTTGATAAGTCTGTAAGCCATTTTCATCGCTCCAGCACTCGCCATAAAACTGAAGACCAAAAACTTTATAGCCTTTGTCACGCGCTTTTTTGGCGCATTGACAAGCCAGTCTGCCGAGCAAAGAGAAAGATGACACAATCAGAGAACTTACAATACAATGGATCTAACAAGCTGGTCAGCTGGATCTGAAGTACTCGAACTATTAACAATTATTGGACGAGGTTGAGCAAAATATCGTGATTTGTCTGTGGCGAGCAGATCAATTATTTTGCGAAGCCGAAGGCTGAGGCAAATAATTGATCTGCGAGACACTGACAAATCACGATATTTTGCGATAACCGAGTTCAATAATTGTTTTATCATTCGATCACCGAGTTTGTTTTTTGTATGAATATCCTTGGGAAGCGGAGTGATCTGCCATTTTCACGCAAGAGCGATCGCGAGAAGGAGAAAAGAACGGTTTCCTTTACGCATGAGCAGAATATTATTTGCAGCCAAACACTGTTGGACGGCGTTGCGCATGAGCAGACCGTTATTTGTAGGAAGTTATTTGCAGTTCACGTGGTGGGCTCTCGGCCAATGAAAAGAAAGAAAAATTTGCTTCAAATGATAATATAAATTATTGTAGCTGAACAGCAAATCGTATGCAGTCGAACCTCCATGTGCGACCACCCATAAATGACCACCTATCCAAGACACCGATTTTTTTTCCTCGTGAAATAGCTATAGTTGGAATCTCTTGTACAAACTGTAAACGATGAAAAGCGACCGCGTCCACTTTTTGGATAAAGGCTTTAGAGTTGTCTCTTGTTCTTTAGTGGTTTGATCTCTTATTTTCGTTGCATGAACTACACTACTGTGAAAGTGCGATGTACTTTTACTGGAAATATTAAACTACAGATATCGTAACTTAGAAATTAAAAGTAGGCGCTTGGAAGGTAGAAGGCGCAAGAAAGAACGGGCGCGTGTCTCCCTCTCGCGAACCCGTTCTTTCTTGCGCCCACTGTTTCCCAGCGCCTGCTACGAAGGCTATATATTCAGTGACACAAGCTTACCGGCGCCAGGAATCCGACACATGAAGCCAGTCCAAAAGCGGGGCCTGATACACCTTGCTAGACTGATCTCGAATATTTACCAGCTGCTTTGGAAGGGCCCTTGTTCCACCAACTAAATCTTGAAAACATCCCACTTTTTTCCACTCATTCATATCATCACACTTGATGAAATCGTTGGCTAAAAGCAATGAGAAGAGGAATTGTTTCCTTTATTAGCATTGCATTAAATCGCAATTAAGGGTTCGCCAATGGAGTTTAGAAGTACCCTTAGAAGTACCCACTATATTAGATACGCGCATGCGCAAAAGCTAAGAAAACGAAGAAGATCTGCGCATGTTCCACCTCCAGAGTGAATTTGGCAAAGGTTTTTCCAATTGGCTAGAAGCCTGTATCTTAGTAACATCCTTCAACCAACCATGTTATTTTCTGTCAAAAACAGAAAGCAAAGCTTGTGACCCGCAAGTTATATATTGCTTGTATTGTATCTGTATGCTTTAATTTGAATGAAATCAGCTAATGTGGAATCTGCCGGCAGCATAGTTGTTATAATCGGGAGCGACTAGTCTTCTGTGGCCTCTTTTGAGATTATGAGTCTGAGTCTCTAATGCGATTACTCTAATTGACGTACATTCCGGCTGGAAGTTTACTCGTACTTAAAGAGCTTTTGAATCAGTTTCCCTACTTCCAAAGTAGTTTTATTAAATCAAAGGTAAGTTTAAAATAATTATTTCAGAAACCGGCGGTAATAAACAAGAGAGCGTAACCATAATGATATTAATTTCACTTCACATGTCATAGGAATTGCGTCAGGACCGGGTCTCTTCAACTGCTTCTAATTACCTCCAAGTTTCTCTTTTTCATCTTTCATTTATATACTCATTATTTTTTCTATAGTTTTTCCAAATTAATAGGTTTTCAGGAATAAATTTGTGCGTTGCAAACTACAATATGTATATTGGTACCGATTTCCGAGTTTCCAATCGATGTTTTCAGATCTAAACTTTTGTGACATATAACGTACAATAATAAGAGCGTATATTATGTTATCAATTTGATTTCTGAAGTTGTAAAGTGCATGTAAAGTTGGCTGTAATGAAAGATTTACCTGCCGAGATACCACTCGTTCCGGCACACAGCGTTACAAACAAGTAAAATACGATCATTTTCAGGCCTGGAAAGGAGATGAATCATTAAAAATAGTGCCAGCAAATCATTTCACTTAAAAGCTTATGTTTTACTCAGTCTAAATATGTGCCTTGCATGTCAGAATCATCTTCGTTAACTGTTCCTTCTTCAGGCCACCAACTTACATTTTGGTGCCAAAAATAACGGTCTCCTCCTGGCGCTCTAGATCAACTCGTTCATCAGAGGACACTAGACTGCCAGACTTTTGTGTCGTTAGTCAAAGGCAAATTGGCCCTCACTCTCCAGACTATTTTCAAATCATGAAAGCCAAAAAATGCTTTCTTAGTCCCTCTCAGTCCCTCGTCTTGTTTTGGTTTTGGGGTATTAAGATGTTATAAGGACAGAAAATCATATTCAATAAACGTTTTTTAGAAACATTGATTGATAAATGCTTTCATAGTAAATGCAATTATACCGTAAATCCTCTATTAAGCCCCCGGGGGGCGGGGGGCTTCTTTATTTCACACAAATCTGAGGTGGGGGGCGCTTAATAGAGACGGGGGCTTATTTGAGAGGCTGGTATATTTAATTTAGGAAAGACTATGGTATCAGTTCTCCATAAAGAACTAGAATACAAAGTGGAAAAGCTCAATTACAAGAAGGTTGGAGGTCACGCCGCCAAGGAGTCAAAAACAAATCCGAACTTCCAGGGTGAATAAGCCACAGATCCCGGATCACTCAATACGAAGTTTTACAGTCATGATTGATGATTGATACAGTCTATCATTTATGAGTGAAGAATAATAAGGGGGAGGGGCGGGAGGGCTTAAAAGAGAGGGGGAGCTTATTAACTTTCTTCCCCTGTACAGGGAGGGGGGGGGCTTAATAGAGGATTTACGGTATGTTCGTTTAAGATAACTCGCCACTTATTTTATATGATTTTGTTTTTTCTATTAAGGATTAGGTTGGGCAGCAAAACTGATTGCCTGCGTCGCAGACGCTCTAAACCTTCTGTATAGAGCGGGGCAGAGGATCTGTAGCGATTGGAAGAAGCTGGAAAACCAGTCGACAAATTTACAAGCAAATTCTGTCCTTGAAGGTATTCTCTCAAAGCATTTTTTTGTTCAGAAGAAGACTTTAAAGTTCGAACTGCTGTTACATTGTTTACTGTAAGCGATCCTTGCCAACTCCCTTCTGTCAATTTTGACATGTCACTGCGCCCATCCGGCCCATTAGGCCAATCGTGAGGTGCATAAGAAACCCTTGAGAAACCCGCCTATCAGAAACGCTCACATATGTCCTTGCGACTCTGCAGGATATTAGAACGAGCTTTTGTGCACTAATTCGCAGACGGACTATACAAGTGGTTTTGACGAGTGCGTGGGCCGGCTGCAACGCAGGCTACAAAACTGATTTATCGGGCAAATGTAATAAAATTCTCATGTGCTAAAACAACAAAATATCTCTGTAAGTAAACTCAGACGAAATTAAAAATCTAGCTTCTCTCGTCTCTTTATCGGTTGATTGATTTCAGTCTCTAATTAAAAGGAAATAAGTTGATTCGCCCTAAGTTTCTGTTCCAGTTCTTATTTCTATTAAAATTGTTTGTTTGTTTCTTTTTTCATATCAAACCATTACCTTCGTTGTCGCAATTTTATTCAACTAAACTTCTTCGGGTTTTTTTTAATTCATACTTCTTCAATACTCGTTTTTTTTCCTCGGAGCATTGTTATTAGCGTAGTTGGTGCCCTCCGAAAGAAATTATAGGAAATTCTGCGACAACATAATCAGTCTTAATTCTTCCCCAAGTACAGAATTCAATCAAGCAGGTTCATAATGTCTGAAAAGTAGCAGCTAACTTAAATGTTGCACCAACAAGCTGTTGTCGTACAAGTATATCTCTCTAACAAATTACCCAGTGAAGAAAAAAAAGTAGTAATCGAAATAGCAGTTACAGAAATGAATAAGTCGTTCAAGCTCATGTAAGGGTTGAAGGGGCTTAGTACTTGGATTAATTTATCGTTTTGTTACTTAGCCTGGATCTGGGTCAGCAGCCTTAACAGAAAATGGACTATACTCTTCTAAGTAATATTACAAGCCCTTCTGACTAATACACAAATTGGACAGCTTACTACACCTTAGAGATCAGTTTCCAGTCTAATGCAAGTCTTTAAGCTACCATCTCTTCAATGAGTAGAATGATTATTTTCGGCTCTTTAGAGAACTTTTATAATAAGCTGATTAATTTACAACACTTTCGTTGTCAAAAAATGATTTATTTTTGTCACCTTACTATCTTATATGGCGACTTGGTATGATCACAAAATTGAAAAAGAATTAAACCTTAAAATTCAAATCAAATCAATAAGGCGCTAAAAGGTAAAGAATTATAAGCAATTCATTGGCCCAGACTGTCTTCCAAAGAAAATAATTAAATCAATATGCTTCCATCGTCATCAAATTATTCGCGTGCTGTTTTAATAAAAAAAAAGCTACTTGCCACTATCACTTTGCTTATAATACTCCACACAAAGAATTGTAAGTATTACAGTCGCCCCCTAGAAAGCGAAAACAATGCAATTTCTGCAATTTTTTTTTTAGGGTGGGAGACAATGTGAAAGTGGCAAATAATGACCATCTGTTCAGCTTCTTTTAAAATTACTTACAAAACTAGCAAATGACTTTTAATAATAATATATAATTAGCGAATTTGTTGGAGACTCTTTAATTTTAAATTCTTGGTTATTAAAAAGAATTAAAGTCATTTTCTCTGCGAAAGTAAAGTTCACGTAAGAAAAGATCTAATCTTAAGGGTTTGATAATTATAATTTCTTCTATTGCTGAAGAGCACATAAATAAACGTTATGTTAGGGATAAGATTCAGGGTGAGATCAGTAACGTGCTACTTTCTGAGTTCTCAAAACCTTCACTG